TTTCACAGTGGATTCTGTAAGAGTGTCCGTTGCACCAAGTGCAGGACATCAAAGATGTGTGTTCTGGTAAAGACACATTTATTTTGGCCTGGAATGAAGTCAGGTGTTAATAAGTATGTGCACAGTTGTTAGACCGGCCAGGCAGTCACAATAGATTGTCAAAAGCATGAAGGTCTCTACTGTAGTTAATCTCAGCGGAAGTGGGATAGCATTTTCTATGAGTTTCATAATAGGCACTTCAAGGCAATGAAATTATCTGGGTTGTTGTGGATTGTGTGATGATGTTGGCTCACTTCTTCCTTGTGAAGACGAATGCTAGGGCTTTTGACCTTGCTCAGCTGTATTTCTCTATAGGCTGCCTAAGGATGTTGTAAGTGATTGGGATCCCACATTCACTTTGGAGTTTTGGCAGACAATGTTCCAAAAGCTTGAGACAAAGCTGAGCATAATCAGATGGACAAACGAAACAAGTTAATTAAGTGCTGGAAGACATGCTAAGATCGTTTGTTGGTCATCTAAAGAGGCAAGTATTTGGGAGAAGTACCTGCCTTTGTTAGAGTTTGCCCATAACTGTGCCTTCCATTTGGCTATTGAGATGGCTCCATTTATGGCAATGTATGGCTTTCAACCTCGGTCCCCTGTTGGTATGAATTTGGCTTCTCTTAAGGTGCACCAGGCAAAGGAATTGGCTGATGAGCATCGTCAGCACAAGCAGTTTCAGGTTGGAGACAAGGTTTTCCTTTGGTTGTCTGAAGCTCAGTGAGCTCTTCAAGGTGGAGGTAGTTCTAAGTTGTCGCCACAGTACTGTGGGCCTTGGATTATTCTCAAACGAGTTGGAGACCTTGCCTATCAACTAGACTTGCTTAGTGGTGTGAAGATTCATCTCGTCTTCTATGTAGGAAGTTGAAGGCATGTTTGCATTCTGGTAATATCTTGGACCAGTCTGCGATCAAGATTCCAGAGATAGATGTTTGAAGGTTGGCCCTACTTGTGTGTTATAGCAACGGCTAGCGCGCACACATCGTAAGACTTGGAGAGAGTTACTTGTTCAGTGGAATGGTTATTCTCCATATGATGCTACATGGGAAGCTGAGGATGATGTTGTTTCCTAATTTTGAGTATGACTTGGATGACATTCCAGAGGAAGAGGAGAAGTAGTCGCTTGCTCCTATCCTTTCTTTCTTTTCTGACCCCGTGTGTCACGTGAGACAGTTAGTGGTTTTGTTAGCGGGATGCTTTGCTAGCTTCTCTCTCCTCAGCTACTGTCCATCATAGTTGGAGCAGAGGGAAAAATGTCACCGTATTTCGTGATGAACCAGCTGATTCTGGACCTAGGTCTCTGATCAAAGAGCCAAATACCAACTGCAAATTTGCATGTGAAGATGTGTTCAAGCATCTCCACGGGGTTTTCATTGCATAGAATACACAGAATTTTGTGAACTGTGAGCCAATCACCAACAGGGATGCTGTCCTGCACAAGAAGCCAGCTTACCTTAGCTTCCACTAGTGTCTTCCACATGTTCACAATGTACTTCCAATTCTTCAACTTTCGCATAAGCTTGGTGTCAATTTTATCCATCAAAAGCTCTCTGCCATGCTTAGACCTGTACATAAAAAAAGACACACTGAACTCATTACCTTCCCAGGATAACTGAGCCGGATCCTATATAAGATCAGATATAGGTACTCCCCAAACTAGTGTATTGAAGTGCATTCTCCAGTTGAACCTTAGGATCCAGTTCAGTGGATTTCCCTCTCTGATGTATCGTCCTGATCCTTTTACCGAAGGCCATCCTGGGAACTGGGACCTCCTCGGGAACTATACATGGAAACAGTGCACCACTGTTATGGGGATAAATGTAAAGCAAGATGAAGGCGATCACAAGCGATGCTGCCTTAAGCTTTGATGTGGAGTTTTCATCCTGGGTTGTAATGGGTTGTCATGAGGCCATGTTTGCTCCAAGCGAACGTTAAACAAATACCTGACTTTACCTTTTTCATTGTATCATACCTTGTCCACTGTTGAGGAAGAAAAACAAGATACCAACAAGAACTTTGCTGTAAGTGATGGCTTGCTAGCTCTTTGTAGATCCATAAGTCTTTGATCGAAGCTCCCACATTCCTATGCCACCTAGGCCAAAGACCTCTACCCAAGCCTGGAGCTGAACAGTCACCTATATACTGTTGATTACTGTTCTTATGCACTACGTTGAAGAACAAGCGATCAGCTAATGCATCTGTCAGATGGTCTGGTTCTTTCTGACTTAACCTGATATGTTCAACATCTCTTTTGCTATTCCATCCTGGACCTTTATGTTGAGAGGAGCAGTGCCAATTGATTCCTTGTTTCTAGTTACCACCCTGTCTAAGCAAGATCTTCTGCAACTGAGCTCTGAAGAGGAAGTGCCAGCTCTGGTTTCGTGGATATAAACCTGACACAAGAACTTTGAAGAGAAGAGATTTGGATTGAATTCCTGGGTGTGGCACATTCCAAATAACTGAATTCCACTCTACTTTTGCCTGGACTTTGCACCCACTGGAGTTTCTAAAGTTTCTACATATGTTGTTGGTGATCAAGTGTTGGTGAGTTATCGGGTGTTGCAGATCCAAGGTTTTTGCTGCGTAGGTCCTTATCACATCATCCAACAAGTTGGTCCACAAATCTATGTGGTGACACTCAATGCACAACGTCAAGAGAAGGTCCATGTGAAGCGGTTATCTCGATATTGTGTGTGAACGGATTGATGATATATTCTATGGTAGATATAGATAAGCTCAACAAGATTGGAATACACTAACTTTTTAATAATAATAAATTAACAATTTTTAATGTGTATTTATGTAGCAGTGAGGTGTTATCATATTATGAATCCCACAAGATCAAGAGTGAGAGGTGTTAATCACATTATTTATATGCTCCATATGATCCTGAGGTTTAGAGGTAAGTTAGAGGAAGGAAAAAACAGAATTAATTAGATTATTGTGAAAGTAGAGTATAAATGTGAGTTAAGAGTTAACGCGAGCTAAGAGTAGCAGCGTAAAAGAGGGAAGTAGGAATGCTGGGATGGAGTTCCACCAGGTAGAAAAGATCTCAAGCCTCGGATTGCTCCCAACCCCCTGCCTCCCCACCCAGCAGTCTTGGCGCACAGGGATGACATCAGCCCTAACCTCTTGCTCCATCTGAGCTGCTAACAGCTTCCCCCCTCCTTAAAAAAAAGGTCTGTTGTTCTCTTGGAGTTCAAGAGGCATCCTCTTCACCGTCTCCTCTGTTTTTGCTAGCTAGTTAGCTCTTACAAGAAGGAGCACAAGCCAAGTTCAGCTCCATGCTCAGCTCTATCATCTCCTCTTTAAGACACCTCACCTCTTTGAAGCCATTCAGGAGAGCTAGCACGCTTCACGTCTAGACGTCCCCCCCCTTTTTTTTGCGATTGTCTCTTCAAACTCATCATACTTACTTAACTCACCAAACCTTACCAAGACGAGTGCAGGTTTTGAAACCCCCATGAGTCACCTTGGCCTTTTTCCATCTTCCAGTTGAGCTCTCCAACAATCTTGACGTGCGGATGCGTGCAAACTGCTCCTTGAGCCAGGACCATTTCTCCAGGAGATAACTTATGCTACAACACTCTCCGCTCGACGATCTCAATGTGGAAAGATCCACAAAGCTGTCCCACTCATCATAGTTGTAGAAGAAATCATCCTCATACTGCTTCTGCAACCTTGCTCGAGCCCAAGCCTCCGCCATCGCAAGCTTCTCCCTCATCTTGATCAGCTCACACTTGAGGCCGCAAAACAAGTCCAGGTCCTGAGGAACAACAATGGAATACACCTTTCCCGGGTACCTGTCTCGAAACCTGTGAAAGTACAGTGGACAATGTGGTGTTTCAGATCGCAGCGGAATGATAACTTGATGAAAGCAACAAAACCATCGAGCTCGCTCTTTGGGGATCAATTATCATCTCCTCCTTTGAAGCAATGAGCAGCAGGCCTTGATTGCATCCAGAAGTACTAGAGATAGTCTGCAAAAGCAAGTTTGACACCAGTTATTTTGGCAACACAGAAGAAAAAGAAGAAAAATAAACTCAAGTTTCAAAATTTATAGAGATCCATACAATCCAAATCAAGATCAATCCTCCACGAACTTAATGTCGCTTTCAGCACCTCCAAGCTCTGCCGAAAAACGTAGCCACGGTATGCCACAATCGTTCGCTTGAAAATCTGAAGATGTCAATCGAAGCATGCAAGCAAAAACATGAAGTAAAGAAGCGCAGGTGGACAACAAAGGAGATGAACTGACCGAGGCCAAGAACACATATAAGGACTGAATGTAAGCACGTGAGGCCTCGCGCAGTTTTTTCCTCCGTGCGTGGCTTCATGTGTGAAGAGTTTGGTGTGGTAAGGTGTTGTTGCGGAGCAGCCAGAAGCCCAGGGTGAATATAAGTACGTGAGGCCTTGTGAGGTTTTACCACTGCCCGGAGGACTCCTGTGCATGGGCCCCGGGCGAGAGTCATTTGCGAAAGTGTTCTGCATGAAACTGGTGCCCTGAGGCTTCTGGCCGAAGAGCATTTTTTATTTAATTTGTGTAGAGTGTGGTTTACTTTTGCATATTGAGTGTATCGATATCTTTTCGTTAGCAGATTCTATTGAAGAACCGAAGGCTACCTACAGTTAAGTGCATGCAGCAACAGATCATATAAGAAATGAATGCAGAGAATAACAAATCGGGATTTCTAGGAAGTTCGTGCGTGTTGTTAGTAATAATAATAATAATCATAAAAACCTGATGTTCAGCCAGTTAGAAGATTGTCTGAAAATTATGCATGTACTGATTCTTCAGCTCTTGAGCAACTGATTGCTGCTGGCTCACTTTCTATATATATCAAAGAGATTTTTTTTTAACAATAAACATCTAAGCTGCTAAGAATTAGAAAAAGAAAAAACAGAAAACACGAGCTTTTCAGTTAATCGGGATTTCTAGGGTATGGGTGTGGCGCTAGGGTTTGTGTGGTGTGTGTGTCATTTCTCAACAATCTCATGGAGTTCAGGGATCCCACTTTCTGGTGGGACAACAGGTTCAAGAAGAAAAACAAGTTCTTCTCAGAGTCCTACCCGGATTTCAAACATGTTTCTACCGGAGAGAGCCTGTGGATCGCCAACAGGAAAGCACCAACCTGGGTCTCTGCAAAACTCGGGTCGCTCGCTGGCCCAGCTGTAGGTAAGGCCACCACGGCCCGCTACAAATCTCCACATACCCCACCTGTAGCTGGTGATGAACCGGTGAGTTTAGGGAGGCTGATACACCGCGTGAGAGACTCAGCTGAGAGCAGATCCCTTTCTTTGGGAAAACAAGCCCATGAAGCTGTGCTCAAGAGTGATGAGCACAAAAGCAACATCTACTTGTTAACGGGATTGATCGATATGTACTGCAAGTGTGGCGAGCTTGAGGAGGCTCGCAAGATTTTCGACTCCATGGGAACCCGGAGTGTTGTGTCCTACAACGCGATCATCCAGGGCTGCAACACGAACGGGCGAGCTGAACTTGCTCTGGAGTACTACTCTGCCCTGAGAGCTTGTACCACCATTCAACCCAACGATCGGACACATGTCGCGGTGATCAGCGCCTGCTCCAGACTTGCTACCGAATCCAGCAAGAAGAGGGAGAGAGCTCTACGCATTGGGATGGAGATCCATTCATTGCTGAGCAAGGAGAAGAAACAGGTAGATCTGTTCCTGGCGAATTGCCTGGTAGACATGTACTGCAAGTGTGGCGAGCTTGAGGAGGCTTGCAAGATTTTCCACTCCATGGGAACTCGGAGTGTTGTGTCCTACAACGCGATCATCCAGGGCTGCGGCTCGAACGGGCAAGCTGAACGTGCTCTGGAGTACTACTCTGCCCTGAGAGCTTGTACCACCATTCAACCCAACGATCGGACACATGTCGCGGTGATCAGCGCCTGCTCCAGACTTGCTACCGAATCCAGCGAGAAGAGGGAGAGAGCTCTACGCATCGGGATGGAGATCCATTCAATGCTGAGCAAGGAGAAGAAACAGCTAGATCTGTACATGGCGACTTGCCTGGTAGACATGTACTGCAAGTGTGGCGAGCTTGAGGAGGCTCGCAAGATTTTCCACTCCATGGGAACTCGGAGTGTTGTGTCCTACACCGCGATCATCCAGGGCTGCAACACGAACGGGCGAGCTGAACTTGCTCTGGAGTACTACTCTGCCCTGAGAGCTGATAACACCATTCAACCCGATGATCGGACTCATGTCGTGGTGATCAGCGCCTGCTCCACACTTGCTACCGAATCCAGCGAGAAGAGGGAGAGAGCTCTACGCATCGGGATGGAGATCCATTCAATGCTGAGCAAGGAGAAGAAACAGCTAGATCTGTTCGTGGCGAATTGCCTGGTAGACATGTACTGCAATTGTGGCGAGCTTGAGCAGGCTCGCAAGATTTTCCACTCCATGGGAACTCGGAGTGTTGTGTCCTACACCGCGATCATCCAGGGCTGCAACACGAACGGGCGAGCTGAACTTGCTCTGGAGTACTACTCTGCCCTGAGAGCTCGTACCACCATTCAACCCAACGATCGAACTCATGTCGCGGTGATCAGCGCCTGCTCCATACTTGCTACCGAATCCAGCGAGAAGAGGGAGAGAGCTCTACGCATCGGGATGGAAGTCCATTCAGTACTGAGCAAGGAGAAGAAACATCTAGGTCTGTACATGGCGACTTGCCTGGTAGACATGTACTGCAAGTGTGGCGAGCTTGAGGAGGCTCGCAAGATTTTCCACTGCATGGGAACTCGGAGTGTTGTGTCCTACACCGCGATCATCCAGGGCTGCAACACGAACGGGCGAGCTGAACTTGCTCTGGAGTACTACTCTGCCCTGAGGGCTGATAACACCATTCAAGCTGATGCTTGCACCTACACCTGCGTCCTTGTTGCTTGCGGGAGTGTGATGGCGATCAAGCTCGGGAGGGAGATTCACCAGCTGGCAAAGCATAAAGGGCTGCTGAAAAACAATCCAGTTCTGGGCTCCAGCCTGGTGAGCTTCTACGGCAAATGCGGCGATGTTGATTCTGCTCAGGAAGCGTTTGACGAGTGCCGAACTCGGGACGACACGGGTCTCTGGAACTCTCTCATACAGGCTTACACTCTCCAGGGCCGATCGATCGAGGCCTTGGAGTGTTTCTATTCCATGACTCAGGAGGAGGGCTGTAAAGCTGACGATGTGAGTTTTGTCTCGGTGTTGAACGCTTGCAGCCATGGTGGTCTGGTCGGGAAAGGAAGGCAGCTTCTGGATGAAATGCCCAAGCAGTATGGAGTCAAGCCACGTCTGGAGCATTATGTGTGTCTGATCGATATGCTCGGGCGAGCTAACCTCCTCGACGAAGCTGTGAGAGTTCTCAGAACCATGCCTTTTGAACCGGATGCAGTGGTTTGGACGTCCCTGCTCGGAGCCTGCCGGAAGTGGAAGAATTACACGATCGGCAAACTCGCGTTTGAGCGTCTTGTGGAGATGGATCCCAAGAGCAGCACGCCCTACGCATTGATGGCCAATATATTTGGAAACCTGGGGATGCTCAGTGAAAGGGCTGCTGTTGTGGAGAGAATGAGAGGTGAAGGCAGCTTCAGGGAGCCCGAGAGAAGCTGGTGGACGGATGTTAGCTCAGGAAAAGTGCATTCTTTTTCTGTCGGGGATAGGAGTCACTCACAGAGCGACGAGATTGCGGCCAAGCTCAAGCAATTGTTGCTGAGAATGAAAGAGGAGGGGTACGTGAGCGATGTGATCAACGTTCTAAAAGACATACCCGAGGAAGAGAAAGAGGATCACCTGTGCGGCCACAGTGAGAAGCTTGCGCTGGGGTGTGCTCTGGTGAACTCGCACCAGAAGGAAACCATCAGAATTGTGAAAAATCTCCGAGTTTGTGACGATTGCCATGCGGCCACTGCTCTCGTCTCTAAGCTGGAAAAAAGGCTAATCATCTGCAAAGATGCCAGTCGGGTTCATGTGTTCCAGGATGGCAGATGTTCTTGTGACAACTACTTTTGAAAACATGTCAGTGCTCTTTCTTGCAGTTATCCCTGGTTTTAAACCCAGAAACATGGGCCGCTGAGTGAGCATGCCTCGTCAAAATACCGCCGTCAACCTGAACTTCACGGAGAAAAAATTAACATTTAAAAGTTAAAACTATGCAAAAGGAGGATGACACGTTGTCTTAAATTTAAATTTCTTTTTGGTAGCAGAATCGGGAATGCTGACTAAACCTGCCAACAGGTGCCCCAAAACGGAGCGCCCAGATTCAGGTAATAAGCCTTAGTATGAAGACTTGCCGGTACCCAAACTCTTTGGTGATACCGCCTCATGTTCCGGGAGCAAGGTGATGGCGGCTTGCGGCATGACCAACTTTGGGTTTGTGCTCCTAGAGCACGTTGAAGACGTGTGGAAGCTGGTGACGACGGCATTTGTTTCTTGCAACGTACTCACCAGTTCCTCGGCGACGTCTTCCTTCCAGATTTTTTGAGCTTGTCGTGAGTGGTGACCTGCTTGCTCTCTCCTGTGACTACTTCTTCCAGCCTCTGGTGCCCAACCTCAAGGCTCTCTTGTGGATGGAGCTAGCCCTACACAGTGTGTGTGTGTGTGTGTGTATCAACCAGCAGATGCACAAATCGTTGAGAATTAGCAACAAGTGTGTATCATAGGCTTAGTACGTAGTGTACTAGTGTACATGTACATGTGTTTCAGCTAAATATAATGGGCCAAATACACCGAAGAAGTGTGTATAAGAAGAGTAGAAATAAATTAAGAAATGTAAATTAAGAAGTGCAAAAGAAATGAAAATAAAAATTGTCCATCCTCATCAGTTTGCTGAAATTAAGTTGGATTCAATTCTTCCAGCTCCAAATATTGTGTGATTGAGTTGTAAGTTAATTAATAGTAGAAAATAAGAAAAGAAACAAACATTGAAAAAATAGTGTTTGATAATATCTTTTTTACTTTTAGTTTTTTATTTTCGAAAGGGGGGTAAAGATATCTTGGCCGTTCATTGGTGGTTAATTAAATGAGCATGTTTAGAGATGTTTATAAGAGTTTAGCTCTGGACCAAGAGTTACCCGTGCAAAATTTACGTTTTCCCTAGTTGCACAATAACTTAAGCTACTTACCCTTATTTTTTATGGGAAAATTATTAGTATTTTGGATTCACACGAAAAAAAAGGCGAATTTAGAGAATTCTTAAGTAATTTTCAAAAACCCCGACCAAATCTAAAGTGTTGGGGGGGGGTCATTTTATTTTAAGGGAAGTTGTTAAAAATTATTCCGGAAATATTCGAGAAGATTCTTAGGTTAGGGTTTGGCGTGTGCGACTTTTCTTCAATTAGCTGTGCAAGCTTTCATGCACATTGCGGATGACAAGATCCCCGGTAAGTGCTGCCTGAGGAAGAAGACCGTGAACTTCGTCGGGCTGTGATTGGGAGGAGGTTTTGCATGGGCCTGTGGTGGGTGAAGCCTCGAAATGTCACCACCTGGAGTAAGTTTTCTTTGAAGTATTACGATGTGGGGAGGTGGAAGAGGAAACTTCAGATGGAGAAGAGGACCTTCTTCACCATTTGTGGCATGCTGGAGAGCGAGATCCGGAAGCAAGATACCGGTTGGAGGAGTGCGGTGCCGGTGGATGTTCGACTGGGGGTGACTTTGTACAAGCTTTTCAAGAACACATTACTTGGATCTGGCAGACAAGTTTGGCATCGGTGAGTCCATAGCTCATGAGATTGTCATGGACACTACTGCGGCAATTGTCAAGTGTCTCAGGTACAAGATTCATTTTCCTTCAACCGCCAAGGAGGTTCGTGCTGTTGCTGCTGGCTTTCGACAAGTGACAGGTACATTTTCTTATGTTTTTTGGATTGTTATAAGTTTTGACGACCAATAGGAACCCGACTGCCTAATGTTGCTGGGGCGATCGACTGTACTCCGAGATCATCCGACCTACTAGACTGGACGGCGAGAGCTACTACGACCGGAAGCAGCGGTACTCGGTCACCTTGCAAGGGGTTTGTGATGCCCAGAAGAGGTTCCTCAGTGTCTACGCTGGGTAGCCAGGTATGTTTCTTTGTGTGTTGTGGATGGTTCTAAAATGTTCTTTTTGCTTTCAGGACGCGTCCACGACATGAGGGTTTTTCGTAATTCAACCCTCAGGAACAAGATTGTAGCAAGGGAGCTGCTGACATTGCCTGCGGTGTTAGCATATGATGATAGGATCAAGCCATACCTAGTGGGGGACAAAGGGTACAAACTCCAGCAGCATCAGATGATTCCACACACAAGTAAGTCTTCTTCATTCTACTTTCTTTTGTTCACTTGTTTTGGTTGTTGCTCAGCTCCGAACCCGACACCATCCAAGGCAGCTTTCAACCTTCATCACCACCTTGCTCGGATTGTTATTGAGCAAGCATTTGGACTTCTTAAAATGAAGTTCAGATGCTTGGATCAAAAACAAAGGATCCAGCCAAAGTACCTTCCCAACATCATCAAGAGTTGTTGCATCTTGCACAATTTCTTGATTGATGTTGGGGAGACTGATCTTCGGGCCAAGCTTGGAGGAAAGAGGTGAAAAGGCTCAAGGATCAGGACCTCTTTGTCGATTATGGTGATCCCGAGCAAGCGGAAGGGGAGCCTCGTGAGGAGTTGCACAGTCCAGAGGATGTGAAAGAGGTTAGAGAGAACCTCACGTTTTCCCTCTGTCTTTGCCAGTGGCGTTCGTGTTTGCTTTGAAATTTGCCGGGATATAATTCTAAACATTTGAATTTGAATTTGAAATTTCAAAATTTGAAATAAGTGAATTTTAAGTGTTCGAATGCATTGTTTTTAAGTGCGAATCCGAGGGTGTTTTGCCACTTAAATCTAAAGAGTCATGGTTGGTGATAGTGTTTTAGTCTCGGGAATAGATTGGACAGACAAACGTGGGATGATTGAAGATGGGAGACTTCGGATCCACCAGTTGGCGCTGTTCTCACTCAATAGGCCGCGCTTGGATCCTGTGATACTGTGGAATACCTCTAGCAGTGGTGCTCAACAAAGTGGATCTTGTTACTCAGGATTATTTCTCTTTTGCAAAGCAGTTCGCAGATATTCTTGTGGAAGTCCTAAAAAGAATCCTCTAGTGTGAACTTGGTGACGGCAGAGGACTTAGCAGCAATGGCGACAAAGGTGGCGGTGGAGTTGGCGGCGTAAATGATAGTGGAGGAGAAGATGGTGGCGGTGACGAACTTATATCCTGTGAAAACTCCCGGGAGGAGCGATGGATGCTGCTCACGATTGTCTCCTCTAGCGAGCTTAGCGGCAAGGAGAGTGGCATGCCAGAAGAACGTTGTAGTTCTTCATCCACAGCGAGTGCAACGCACTGGAGAGATCACTGTCCGTGGAGATGAAAAGATGCGCTGGTGGCGGATGATCGACAGTCCACAGCACCAAAACCAGCATGGGAGTTCGATCGGAGGCCAAATTCTTGCGAGCTGGAAGAGAAACAAAAATCACAACGATTGATCCACGAAAATCCAGCAAATCGAAAACTTACACGATGGCAAATTGTGGAGAGAAATCCCGCCATGTATCGCCAAAAGCGTCGATCGACACTGGACCCTTGAATCCTCTGGTTCACAGCCCAGCAGTCCCCACATTCGTCGCAGGAATCCCAGCTGGGATGTCGCAGTCCTCGAAATCCCACCACACCGCCACTCTCACCGCTCGGAGCCCCGCATCACATCCACTGCCATACAATCTTCATCCTCGACCAGCGCTGGACATTGATAGCATTGCTTAAACCCTGGATGGAAGCTTTACATGGTTGCCAAGAACATCTTTCCCCGGGATGATCACTTGGAATCATACGCTCGTCTCGTCAGGTGCTGTGGCAACGCGAAATATCTGAGCGATGCTCGCAAGATCCACGCTTTGATCGAAGGAACCCATTACAAGAACAACATCTACATTGCGAATCTCCTCGTCCAAATGTATGGCAAATGCGGGAGCTCTGGCGATGCACGCAGCGTGTTTGATTCCATTCTCACCCCCAACTCCTTTTCATGGACAATCCTGCTCCAAGCCCACATTCACAACCAGCAGCTCCACGAGGCCAAGCGCCTTTTCGATTCCATGCCCGGGAAGAATGTAGTGACTTGGAATGCGCTTCTTTCGGCAAATGCCAAAATCGGGCAAATTGATGAAGCGAGGCTTGTTTTCGATCGAATTCCAGAGTGGGACGTTGTTTGCATGAATGCTATTGTCACTGGGTTTGCGAAATCTGGAATGATCAGCCAGGCTAGAAACCAATTTGAAAACATGCCTGAGAGAGACTCTGTGTCGTGGAATGTGATTATTTCGGCATATGCTCAAGCTGGAGATTTTCTTGAAGCAAAGAAGCTGTTTGATAGAATGGAACGAGATCATGATTCTCACAAAAGACTGAGCAATCCAGTCCTATGGAACTCTATGATCGTTGCGCATGCCCAGTGCGGAGATCTTGATGGAGCACGAAAGTTCTTTGCGAGGATGACGCAGAGAGATTGCGTGTCGTGGGCAACACTTATCAACTCCTTTGCGCAGCATGGCTGCACTAATTTAGCAAGAGACACATATGAGAGAATGCCACAGCACGATGTTATAGCATGGACTGGAATGCTCCGAGCAAACTCCCAGTGCGGTGAAATCGATCAAGTACACAATCTCTTTGATTCAATGCCTCAAAGAAACCTAGTGTCGTGGACAGTTTTCCTAGCAACACTTTGCAATCAAGATAATCTTGCAAAAGCTAGAAGAGTGTTTGATCTGATGCCCCAGAGAGACAGCGTTCCTTGGAATGTTATGATCACTGCATATGCCCAACGAGGGCATGTAAACGAAGCAAAGTGCTTTTTTGACAGTATAGAAGTTCCAAACGTTATCACATGGAATTGCATGATCGGAGCGTATGGGCAAAATGGACACTTAGACGATGCTTGGGCATTGTTTAAACGCTGTTCACAGCCAAACATAGTGACCTGGAACGTTCTTATCGTGTCGTTTGCCCAGAATCTACATTGTGCTGAGTCCATTCAGCTCTTTAAAGTCTTAAATCTGGAAGGATTCAAGCCAGACGAGCTGAGTTTCATGGGCCTTTTGATCGCTTGCTGCCACCTTGGGCTGGTAATTGCTGCTAGAGACACCTTGGCTTCAATGGTTTTTGACTACGATATAAGCCCTGAGCGAGATCACTACTGCTGCTTGATCGGTGTTCTTGCGGGAGCTGGGCTCTTGGATGATGCTGAGGATCTCATCAACACAATGCCATTTGTTCCAGATGTTTCCAACTGGGGATGCTTCGTGAGTGCCTGTAAGATCCACTCTGTTGGAGTGGATAGGAGTGTTGGTGCTGCTTGCAATGCCATCGCGATGGATCCTAAAAACTCAGCGCCATACGTGGATTTTGCGACAATTTTTACTGATGAGTGGTTAAACTAGCATTTTGGTATATTTAAATTTTTTGTGAAGCTTTATCTAACTCTCTCGAAAGTTGTTATACCAGAATATTTTACTGCTCCTGTAGTGTTGGAGCTCTGTTTCAAGGAATTCTTTACCTGCTCCAAATACTTCAAAACCACTTTTAAAACGAGCTCTTTTATAGTTAATTAAATCATTAATGGTTTAAGGTTTTTTCAAGAGCAGAAGAAATGAGGTGTTATTTGATTGCCCAAATAGATTCTATATGATTTTGAAATTGTGTATTAATAGTAGAATTTCAAGTTGGGGGAGGGTGCTGCAGCAAATGGATATTGCTAGTCCACACAACAGTGAAGGCAAGATCCAGAACAACATTGTTATATCGCCCCCTAGTGCAAACTAAACCAGTTAGGAAGCGATAGTGGTGGATAGTGTGGTAGTACCAGTTGTTGTCTTCCAAGTCATAAACCATCTTCGTTGTGCAGCTGATTCATGCAGAAGTAGCATGCACCTGTGGAGATGAAGAACCTATCACCACTCGGCGGTTGGACACCATGGCAGTACATTGGATGTGAATCAAGCTCCTACCACTCTGATCCTGGTCCTCGTCCCAAACCAAGAGTTTGATTATGTCATCTTTATAATCCTATACAACCTGCCCTTGTACCAGTGGAAGCAAACCAACATCTGGAGTACTGTTGGAATTGGAATGGCTTTGCACAAATTGAGCCTTACATTGTATCTTTTCTGCATCATATACGTCTTGCTGAAATCCTGACAAGCTGGGGGTCATGGTCCTTGTTAGGAAGTGGTTGCCATGAATTTGTGAGGGAGAAGTAGACCTTCCGCTTGCAAACCACATAGAGAGCTAATCCATAATAAATTCCTGAGCTAAAATAAGACGTGAGACAAGTGATCCATATGGCTTGTTCCCCGTCGCAAGGACTCCAAACAAGGACGTGATCCTCTTCACCTCAAGTATACAATAAAGAAAAAATTAAGTTCATACTTTTAGTTACCAGGAAAGCATGACAAACCCATCTTTAGCTGTGTGGCATGTTAAAGCAAGAGTTAAGACCCAACTATTCTGGGCACTTAGATACCTGTGTATGCACGAACATCTCTATAGGAGACTGTTTTCAACTTGAAGGATGAGAACACCCCCTATACTCTGAACCGGAAAAAAAATCTCTTTCTCTGTTCACAAAACTTGTGACCTTTTCCTTGAGACCACCCATTGTCCTTCTTCATATCCATGAGTTGCAAGGCCATGCCAAGGATATTTCTTTGCTCATCACCTGGTCAGCAGTAATTTCTGTACCTCTTGTAGAATTTCTGCTACCTTAATTTATTAGGTTGAATTATAACTTACATTATAAACTACTACAGAGATGGACTTCTTTGGCAAATAGCCTTAAATAGCCTTTAGGGCTGATCTTGGTTGAGTTGTGAGGTCCTTTTAGACTTTTGAAAGAAAATTGAAACTTTAACTTTATAACCATCTTGTGTTATTTAAGGTGTGAAGAGTTATAAGTCATTTTTAGACTGTGCTTTCAATGTGAGAGTCTAACACTTTTTTTTATTATTGATTTTTTTTTTAGGATTCAAACATACTAGATTACCTAACAAAATACTCAAAGCTCTCAAAGCATAGGCAAACTTATTATTGAGCATTTAGCTGACAGCTATTTGATACAAAATTAAAAGAAGAGCATAATTATTTCATTGGTTATATGATTGGCTTAGTTGTAGATTGATTTTTCTTTACTTTAAAGAAAAAGGAATTTTAGGATTGTGGTAGTAATGAAAGTATATTTCTCTGAACAACTAATTTTGAGGATTGTATTTATTAGTTATGATAAAAGTGAGAGACTAATAAGGACAAAAAAGTTTTTAGTTTCCTTACACATACACCACTTTAACTATTGAATTAACTTTTGATCCTGTTTAGTATATAACAGTATATATAGTACTGCTCTAGTTTATATATATATATATATATATATATATATATATATATATATATATATAGAGTACTGTCTAGTATATAATTTTTAGTCTTTTAATTAAAAAGGAAGAAAAATATACTATAACTTTATAATGTCTATATTTGATGGTCACATAACTCAATTTTATTTTGCATTTGAATACCTTAAGGAGCCCACATAAATGAATTTCATCATAGTTTTATTCTAGAACCTGATATATATAGTAATCTTGAGAATTGCAATAAATCACATATTCTCAAGGTCATTAGTGTATATGTAAAATTCATAACTCTAATAAATTAATAAATTTATTTCTTTAATAAATTTAAAATATTTAATTAAAATTTTAAGGTATTATTATTATATATTTTACAAAATAGAAAAAGAACCTCAAAGATATGATACAAGTATAATATATATAATCTATATAAGCTGGAAATTTAAATGAGCTCTTTAAAATATCAATAGTAGGAACTTAATAAATAAAAAACATTTTGTTTAAAATAACTTTTACAATTTTTAATAAATAGGTAAGAATTGCTGATGGAACCAATTTAAACAGCTAAAAACCTCTAAAAGAATGATGATAATCATAAAATGATTAGTGCACTAAGTTAAAGCAATGCAATTAATCAAAACATTAGGTCAGAGCATCATAATAGGTTGAGATATACTAAAGGCAGTAAATTGTAATAAATTTTAAATAAAGATCTTTCCCATTTTTTATTCTTTAGAAAGTTAAGATTTTAAAAAAATGAAATTTCCCATTTTTTATTCTTTAGAAAGTTAAGGTTTTAAAAAAATTGAAAAATAAAATACATATATATTATATGAAATTTACATAGAAATTAGCATGTCTTAATACTAAAAGAATCACTTATGTTTAAGAAAAATAATAAAATTATTAGAATGATATTTTAGAAAAAATATTTAATTTCTTTATTTTATATGGGTGGTAGTGGATAAACCTAGAATATGGTTGGATATTCTGGGATATTTTACCATCTAACACTTAGTATTTCTTTAAATTAATCTTTTACTTCTAAACATATTTATAATTTATAAACACTTCCTAGTATATTCTACTTTATTCTACCATTGAAAGTTGTAATAAAATTAGAATTAAATTTAAGATTAATTTTAAGTAACTGTCTTAATTAATAGTGTTTAAAGCTATATATAAGGTAATTATTGATTATATTATAATTAAAAATTGATAAATAAACAAGCAAGTTGCTTGTATCTTGTACCTGAATAGCTTAAGGTACACAAGCTTTCATTCATTTTTGGTTTGAAAGTTCTAGAGTTTTTGTAACTTTCCTACAGCAAGCTATAATACAAGCTCCAAATAAGAAACTCTTACTTGAGGATTCTTTACATCCGGATCTGGTCTGCATCATGGAAAGCCATCAATTTACTCTGGAACTTCCCTCACACCTGTGCTGCTCAAATCCAGGCATCCAAGTTGGAGCCATCAAGTCGGCTCTTGGTACCAAAGACTATTCAACACTAGCTCTGGGGAGTTATGCATATTGGCAAGCTTAAGTAAGCTTACTTCCATGTTAAAATCTCAATGTTTCATCTAACACAAACCTCTAAGTGTTTGGCCCGCATCCAAGAGCATAACGAGCGGACAAGGAAGAATCAAGTAGCAAATTAGTGACGGCTCCATCATAGTCAAAAACCATTGAAGCAAAGGATTCTTTGCCCAAGGTGGGGATGAAGAGGACTAACTTAGTATATAAGATCAGGCGTTGGCATAGACCTCTCGTCTCTCCTCCTCCTCCTGCATCACCACACTCATTGAGTTACAGATCAACCGAAATGCTCAGAGCAAACCCCAGTGCAGTGAAATTAATCAATCGAAAGCTCTTTTATTCAACACCTCGATAAGATCCACTTTGAGACCAGGGGGAGTTAAACGAATGTTTTGTAGAAAGTTTGGGTACTGCATTATTATGCCGAAAGAGGGCATCTTGGAAATGAAAGGGATTGAAGCTACTGTTTTGCCGCCAAATCTTGTGACCTGGAGCATTCTTATCATGTCGACTGCCATCTCTTCAACTCAGTTCAAGCCAAGAATGAAAACACTTCTGACCGAGTGCTTCTCACTCTTCCATGTCAGTGTTCCATAGCCCCATAGCGCCGTTTGTGGGAACTTGGATGAATCAACTGTGAACTGGATCTGGAAACTTAGAACCTGGAACACGGATTTAAACCTGAGCTGTGGAGGAAACACCGCGACAGTCACTCCCGCCGGAGCTTCTACTGAAATGTTGTAGACCGACTTGCCAGCTCCAACGTTGGTAACTTTCCTGTTCACCACCGCTTTGGTGGAATTTGGCCCGCCAAACTGAGCGATGGGAACCGCGATGGATGGATAGTTCAAGTCCAAGTAGGAGTCCAGGGGTGCACAAGATAAGTTCTTTCCAGTCATGAGCTCCAGCTGATCCCTTGTGTAGTTCATCGTGCATAGAAACTTCGTGTATTCATCCGGAGATATGTCGTAGACCAGGCCAGGACTAAGCGCTGCGACTGGATCAATCTGTCCGGCTCCCATCACAAATGGTGAAGCTTCTTCCCCATTGTGGTCTTTGATTGGGCTCTTTGTGTTGTCCAGGAAGCGTGCTACAAACACCAAACAAACGATCAAAGAGGGAAAACTTTTTTTTTTTTGTTCTCTTTGGTACCTGTTGTCATGAGAGCCGACTTGATGGCTGCTGGACTCCAACTCGGGTGCCTGGATTTGACAAAGGCTGCGGCAGCACTGGCGTGAGGACATGACATGGAAGTTCCAGAGATTATGTTGAAGTCGGTGTACATTGGCTTGCCATAACTGTTGATGGGCTGCTCAGGACTCCATGCAGCCAGTATGTCCACACCAGGAGCAACGAGATCGGGCTGTAAAGATAAGACTCCCAGTTTATATTAGTAAAACTCTCCTCCAGATACCTTAAGAATGCCATCGGTAATACCAGGTCCCCTCGATGAGAAATCCGCAATGATTGGGGCTGGAGTGGTTTGTATGATCGTATGTGCTGGAGAGATGGTCGCTGTAGTATTCCTTGAGAAAAGTTTAAAAACCGTCAAGAAGTCTCAAACCAAAAATGCATGAAAGCTTGTGTACCTCGAGTTCTTCAGGTAGGCATTAATCTCGTCCAAGGCGCTCCCAGTGACAGCAGCTCCAGCAAGATCAAGGAAGGACGCTGCCTCTGTCGTATTATGAATCCCCAAAATTACTCCCGAGGCACCAAGTTCTTTAAGATGTCGCTGGATGACCGAGGATGATGCAACGCCCCGACTATATTTGCACAAGACAATCTTTCCCTTGACCTTCTTCCCATCCAAAAAGCGTCCTGCACATAGTCTTAATGCCAAGTATGTTTTAGTGATAAGCTTTCATTCAGCTGAAACAGTGTTAATTTATCACCTGGCCTGTCCTATTCGATCAGATCTAGAAGAAGCATCACCACCCAAAATAAGCGTTGATATATCAGTCCGCCTGGGATTCATTGCTATTCCCTGTTATATATACATGAGAAAGGAAAAATTCACCAAAAACAATCAAGTACCTGGATGGTTTTAGAGTTTCCAAGTTTGATGTCGACCGAGAACTTCCTGTCGATAGTGCTTGCTCCCACTGTCAAAATCCATGGAGCCGAGTTCTCGATGGTTTGGAAGCCTGGACCTCCATTTCCAGCAGAACATGATACAAAAATTCCCTTCTGCATTGCATGGAAAGCACCAATGGATATGGAATCCCCGTCATATCCGGTGGTATCTTCACCCAGCGATAACGAGAGAATATCTACACCGTCGTGAATTGCGTCGTCGAATGCTGCGAGAATGCTGTCAACCTCACATTCTGGCGTGCAAACCCTGTAGATCGCAAGCCTTGCGGATGGATGGCCCCCTCGAGCAACTCCTTTTCCAAGAGTTGTTAAAAAAGTGGCGTCTTTTACCAGGCTTCCAGCGATGGTGGAGGCCGTGTGAGTTCCATGCCCCTCTTCGTCCCGAGCGTTTTGATAACGGCTCCCCACGTCCGAGTGTCCATAAGATCGAGCTCCTACAATTTTCCTGAAACAAATCACAATGCTTGAGAGATGAACCCAAGAGTGATCTTACTTGTTGCAGTGGATCGTGTGTGAATGATTGGTGACTTTGGAATTGTCACATACTCCTTTCCATCTCTTTGGCACCGGTCCCATCCCAGCGTCGTCGAAGCTCTTGGACTCCGGCCAAACACCTGGAAGTGGATAATTAACTCGGAAGTAAGCTTTTTCCATGATTACCAGTATCCAGGACTCCCACAATGACATCCGATCCAGAGCTAGAGTTGAGTTGAATGTGCGGACCACCAGAAAAGCTGTCGAGAAAATCCCAGGAGCGTGTTGTGTGGAGACTGAGTTTTTTGGAACGGAAAACCTTAACCACGCCAGGAAGCTCTGATAAACCAACACATCAAAACTCGTGGCGAAAGCTTCAAAGAGAGGCATACTTGCAATGGAGTCGGCTTCGGCTTCAGTCAAGAAGGCGGAGAAGCCATTGAAACCGTGCTTGTAGCTGTGAACCAGCGACGATTCCTTGCTAAACATCAAACACAGTGAGGAGAAAAGAAAAATTGTTGCAAGAGGATTGTTTCGTACCTCCCCTTGACAGAGGCAAGAATTTGGTGATGAGACGATGTCACAGCCTCCGGTTTAGAGCTCCCAGTGTGCCCCAAGTAGACAATGTATTTGCTAACAGGCTGCCAAAAACACCCAACTTCTTAGAAATCTATCAAGCCGGAGAAAGGGAAAGATCACCTCGTTGGTTGCGGCAGCAGCAAGAACAGCAAGAGCAGCAAGAGAGAAAAAGACTCGTTCCATCCCAAGCATCGCTCCAGGGAAATCTTCTCCCCATGCGGCTCCATTTTAAAGGCTACAGCGCGGGCGGAAGCTCCAACCAGGCAAAGGCCACTCCGCCAGCCGATCAATAAGTCTCGTCCATTTCTATCGGATCTCGCATCATATCACCAAAATCCAAAGAAAGAACCTCGCACGCATCATTCCCGCCAAATAACTTAAACCACTAAACCCGAGCTAGGGCTTTGTTTTACCGCATTAAAACAAAGACTAGAGTTACAAAGAGTGTTAAATCACTCGCTCTCTCTCGCTAGCCTTCTTATAATGCAAAGTTTTTTGATGAGCAGCTTGATTAGGATGTACCCACTGTCCATAAGAAGAATTAGCAGCTGCGGTTCCACCACCACCACCACCACCACCGCCACCACCAGCGACACTACTAGCAGAAGGCGGTGGCGGAGGCCCTGGCGGTAGAGGTGGCCGCAAGACTGGAAATCCTCCGCCTGGATTCGACGAGCTATCCTCGACGATGGCTTACAAGAGCAGGGATTAAGCTTCTTTGCGAGTGGAAGCCGAGTCTACTGGAATCCCTCTAGCAGTGAAAGCGGATCTTGTTACTACAACGATTGATCCACGAAAATCCAGCAAAGAGAAAAGGTCGAGAACTTACACGATGGCAAATGGTGGAGAGAAATCCCAGTGGAAGCCAACGCCTCCTGTGTGCTGCATGAAAGCTGCCATGTATCGCCATACGCGTCGATCGAGGAGACTGGACCCTTGAATCCTCTGGTTCACCCAGCGATGCCCACATTCCATCCCATCCACTGTCATCCTCGATCAGGGCTGGATCCTGCAAGCCCTGGCGCGGTGGTGCGCCAGAGATCCCCGAGACATTGATAGCATAGCTTAAACCCTGAATGGAAGCTTTACATGGTTGCCAAGAACATCTTTCGCCGGGATGATCACTTGGAATCATACGCTTGTCTCGTCAGGTGCTGTGGCAACGCGAAAGATCTGAGCGATGCTCGCAAGATCCACGCTTTGATCGAAGGAACCCATTACAAGAACAACATCTACATTGCGAATCTCCTCGTCCAAATGTATGGCAAATGCGGGAGCTCTGGCGACGCACGCAGCGTGTTTTGATTCCCTTCGCACCCCCAACTCCTTTTCATGGACAATCCTGCTCCAAGCCCACATTCACAACCAGCAGCTCCACGAGGCCAAGCGCGTTCTCGATTCCATGCCCGGGAAGAATGTAGTGACTTGGAATGCGCTTCTTTCGGCAAATGCCAACAGCGGGCAAGTTTATGAAGCGAGGCTTGTTTTCGATCGAATTCCAGAGTGGGACGTTTTTTGCATGAATGCTATTGTCACTGGGTTTGCGAAACCTGGAGAGACTCTGTGTCGTGGAATGTGATTATTTCGGCATATGCTCAAGCTGGAGATTTTCTTGAAGCAAAGAAGCTGTTTGATAGAATGGAACGAGATCATGATTCTCACAAAAGACTGAGCAATCCAGTCCTATGGAACTCTATGATCGTTGCGGATGCCCAGTGCGGAGATCTTGATGGAGCACGAAAGTTCTTTGCGAGGATGACGCAGAGAGATTGCGTGTCGTGGGCAACACTTATCAACTCCTTTGCGCAGCATGGCTGCACTAATTTAGCAAGATACGCATATGAGAGAATGCCACAGCACGATGTTATAGCGTGGACTGGAATGCTCCGAGCAAACTCCCAGTGCGGTGAAATCGATCAAGTACACAATCTCTTTGATTCAATGCCTTAAAGAAACCTAGTGTCGTGGACAGTTTTCCTAGCAACACTTTGCAATCAAGATAATCTTGCAAAAGCTAGAAGAGTGTTTGATCTGATGCCCCAGAGAGACAGCGTTCCTTGGAATGTTATGATCACTGCATATGCCCAACGAGGGCATGTAAACGAAGCAAAGTGCTTTTTTGACAGTGTAGAAGTTCCAAACGTTATCACGTGGAATTGCATGATCGGAGCGTATGGGCAAAATGGACACTTAGACGATGCTTGGGCATTGTTTAGACGCTGTTTACAGCCAAACATAGTGACCTGGAACGTTCTTATCGTGTTGTTTGCCCAGAATCTACATTGTACTGAGTCCATTCATCTCTTTGAAGTTTTGAATCTGGAAGGGTTCAAGCCAGACGAGCTGAGTTTCATGGGCCTTTTGATCGCTTGCTGCCACCTTGGGCTGGTAATTGCTGCTAGAGATACCTTGGCTTCAATGGTTTTTGACTACGATATAAGCCCTGAGCGAGATCACTACTGCTGCTTGATCGGTGTTCTTGCAGGAGCTGGGCTCTTGGATGATGCCGAGGATCTCATCAACACAATGCCATTTGTTCCAGATGTTTCCAACTGGGGATGCTTCGTGAGTGCCTGTAAGATCCACTCTGCTGGAGTGGATAGGAGTGTTGGTGCTGCTTGCAATGCCATCGCGATGGATCCTAAAAACTCAGCACCATACGTGGATTTTGCGACAATTTTTACTGATGAGTGGTTAAACTAGCATTTTGGTATATTTAAATTTTTTGTGAAGCTTTATCTAACTCTCTCGAAAGTTGTTATACCAGAATATTTTACTGCTCCGGTCTGCTTCAAGGAATTATTTACCTGCTCCAAATACTTCAAAACCACTTCTTGTATAATTAACTAAATCATTAATCATTAATTAATTATGTTTAGGGCTTAAGGTTTATTCACAACATCAAGGTGGTCAAGAGCAGAAGAAATGTCCCCCCTCAGGCCTGCACAAATGCAGCTTGAATTGAAGCAATGCATACCTCCCATAAACAACAATTGAATAGGTGTTATTTGATTGCCAGAATAAATTCTATATGATTTTTGCTATTGTGTATTCTAGTAGTAGAATTTCAAGTTGGGGAGGGAGCTGCAGCAAATAGATATTGCTAGACAGTGAAGGCAAGATCCAGAACAACATTTTTGTATCGCCCCCTAGTGCAAACTAAACCAGTTAGGAAGCCATAGTGGTGGATAGTGTGGTAGTACCACTTGCTCTCTTCCAAGTCATAAACCATCTTTGTTGTGCAGCTGATTCATGCAGAAGTAGCATGCACCTGCGGAGATGAAGAACCTATCACCACTCGGTTGTTGGACACCATGTCAGTACATTGAATGTGAATCAAGCTCTGATCCTAGTCCTCGTCCCAAACCAAGAATTTGATTACGTCATCTTTATAATCCTATACAACCTGCCCTTGTACCAGTGGAAGCAAACCAACATCTGGAGTACTGTTGGAATTGGAATGGCTTTGCACAAATTGAGCCTTAGATTGCATTCTTTCTGCATCATATACGTCTTGCCAAGCTCTGAAATCTAGACAAGCTGGGGGTCATGGTCCTTGTTAGGAAGTGGTTGCCATGGATTTGTGAGGGAGGAGTAGACCTTTGCACTTGCGAACCACATAGAGAGCTTCAGCATCATAATCCATAATAAGTTTCATTGAGTGGGAGGATCCTTGAGCTAAAATAAGACGTGTTACACTCTGAGACAAGTGATCCATATGGCTTGTTCCCCGTTGCAAGAGCGGACCAGCACCAAATATATAATAAAGAAAAAATTAAGTTCATACTTTTAGTTACCACGAAAACCCATCTTTAGCTGTGTGGCACCTAGATACCTGTGTATGCACGACTTCCCAACCCACTTCACTTACATCCTCTATGGGAGACTGTTTTCATGAGAACAACCCAAGAAGAAGCCCAACCAGAAAAAATTTCTCTTTTTCTTTGTTCACAGGCAATACAAACCTTGTGTAAACCGTTACCTTTTCCTTGAGACCACCATGCTCAAGTTGTACAAGATCTTCCCATTGTCCTTCTATGAGAACCACCATATACTCTAGAACATCATATCCATGAGTTGCAGGGCCATGCGAAGGATATTTCTTTGCTCATCACCTGGTGAATAACAACAGCAGTAATTTATGTACCTCTTGTAGAATTTCTGCTATTTTGAATTATAACTTACTTTATAAACTACTGCAGAAAAGCTGATACAGATGCACTTCTTTTGCAAATAGTCTTTAGGGCTGATCCTTTAAAAACGATGTGAGATCCTTTTAGACTTTTGAAAGAAACTTGAAACTTTAGCTTTATAACCATCATGTGAGTTATTAAGGTGTGAAGAGTGAAACTACTTAAATATAGTCATTTTTAGACTGCTTTCAATGTGTATAATGATTTTTTTTTTCTTAGGCTTCAAACGAAAAGAAATACTCAAAGCTCTCAAGGCAACATATTAATGAGCATTTAGCTGACAATATTGGATACAAATTAAAAGAAGAGCATAATTATTTCATTGGTTATATAATTGACTCTTTACTATTGTCAGTTAAACAAAAATTACTTTTAGGATTGTGGTAGTAATGAAAGTATATTTCTCTAAAAAACTAATTTTGAGATTTGTATTTATCAGTTATGATAAAAATGAAAGAAAAATAAGAAAAAAACATAGTTATTGAATTGAATTTTGATCCTGAAAATTATTGTATTTAATATTTTAATTAAAACGAAGAAAATAATGTTTAGTCACAAAACTCAAGTTTTATTTTACATTTGAATACTTTAAGGAGCCCATATAAATGAATTTCATCATAGTTTTATTTTAGAAATTTGATATATAGTAACCTTGAAAATTGCAATAATTCACATATTCTCAAGGTCATTAGTGTATATGTAAAATTTATAACTCTAACGAATTATTAAATTTATTTCTCTAAAAAAGTTAAAACATTTAATTAAAGTTTTAAGGTAATATTATTATATATTTTAAAAATATAGAAAATAACATTAAATATAATTTTTAAATAGCATAATAAAATTATATAAGTATAATATATATAATCCATATAAGCTAGATTTATATATAAGCTCTTTAAAATATCAATAGCAAAAACTTAATAAAGAAAAAACATTTTATATAAATAAATTTTATAATGTTTTATAAATGACTAAAAATTGCCGATGCAACTAGTTTAAACAACTAAAAACCTTTAGAAGTATAATGATAATCAAAAAGTGGTTAATACACTAAATTAGAGCATTGAATTAATCAAAACACTATATCATAACATCGTAATATACTTGAAGTATATTAGCAACAGCAGATTGTAGCAAATTCTAGATAAAGATATTTCCCACTTTTAATTCCTTAGTAAATTAAAGTTTTAAAGAAAATTTTAAAAAAATACATATATAAGCATGTATTTATATTTAAGAAAAAATAATAAAATAATTTAAATGCTTTTCTAGATAAGATATTTAATTTTCTTTATTTTATATAGGTGGTAGTGGATAAACCTAGAATATGCTTGGATATTCTGGGATATTTTACCATCTGACCGTCATTATTTATTTAGATTAATCTTTTACTTATAAACATATTTATAATTTATAAATACTTCCTAGTATATTCTACTTTATTATACCATTGAAAGTTGTAATAAAATTAGATTTAAATGTAATATTAAGTGTAAGTAACTATTTTAATTAACTATTTTAATAGTGTTTAAAGTTATAAATAAGGTAATTATTGATATTGATCTTCCATTAAAAATTAATAAACAAACTAAAGAGTCCAAGCATGTTGCTTGTATGTAAATCTGGCATAACTATAGTAATCAAAAGGCATAAGTGTCCTTCATTGATCTTCCTAAATCTGCAGAGCAACTTGTACCTAAATAGCTTAAGGTGCACAAAGCTTTCATTCAGTTTTGGTTTGAAAGTTTTAGAGTTTTTGTAACTTTTCTACAACTAATACAAGCTCCAAATAAGAAACTTTTACTTAAGGATTCTTTACACCCGGATCTAGTGTGCATTATGGAAAGCCATTGTGAGACACAAAATCCCTAGGCCCCAAAGTGGAGCCGAAAGGGTGCCACGTGGTAGTGGCCGAAAGCCAAACGAACATAACATGTTTGGACTGAAAGTTCCGACTCGAAAGGTCGAGAGCAGGAGTGGAACTCCCAACAAAATGCTCAAGGAGCAAGCACGAAGTGAGCAATAAGCAAGGCTCCAAAAAGGGACCCAAAAGGACCAACACATGACACGTGGAAGTGTCTGAGATGGAGTCCAAGATGGAGTCCGAAATGGACCGAGACGGAGTCCGAGATGGAGTCCGAGAGGGATCTAAGATGGAGTCCGAGATGGACCCGAGATGGAGTCTAAGATAGACCCAAGATGGAGTCCGAGATGGAATCCGAGATAGACCAAGATGGAGTCTGAGATGGACTCGAGATGGAATCTGAGATGGAGTCCGAGAAAGACCCGAGATGGAGTCTAAGGTTGAGACCGAGACCAGGACTGAGACTGGGACCGAGACCGAGATCAAGACCGAGACTGAGACCGAGCCCGAGCCCGAGTCTGAGTCCGAGTCCGAGTCTAAGAGGGTGAAAGCCCAAAGCGTTCGTCTCCCAAACCCTAGGGGGTTTGGTGAGCTCCAAAAGTATAGTAAGGGGGAGGATTACAGTGGAGCCAATTTGGCCAAGAAAGGCCAGTTTGGCCCAGGAAGGCTGTACCCAGTGTTGGGTGATGAGCTGCCCACTGGAAAGTCCAAGACTAAAGTGAACATGGACCGATAAGTGGGGTAGCTTGGTGAAGTGTTCAAGAGCTAGCTTTAGTTCCCCTGGGAGATCGATTGGCCGATGCTTCCAGTCCAAGTGTGGGTGGCACTACCTACTTGGATACCTGGCGTGACTCAACGGAATCTCGCTCTAAACCCATGGCTAGAGCACCTAAAGGCGGAAGGCAGGGAGAGTACCCATAAGGCTTGCGTAAGGCCGTGGTGTTTTGAAATGTTGCCCCAAAGTCCCAGATTGTGAAAAGGAGGAGGAGCCATCCTCTAGTGTAGAGACCAAAGATACGGTCATGTGAGAAGGTAATCCCAGAGGACCAAGGGACTTAGTGGTTGGGCTTGTGGGCCTTGATCCAGTGGTAGTGTTGGTGAACATGGCCATGGACAAAAAGGGACTTAGTGGGGATTGAAAAATGGATATTGAGGAAGGCTAATCCCCATGTATGTGCGCATCCTAAAGATGCTAAGGAGTGGATTGGGGATGATCACTCATAGATGGATGGTCCAGTCTTTGAGAGATGGGACTGTGATGTAAGTGGTGTTAGACCACCAGTGTGACCAAGGTGAAGGGGCATGGCCTTAGCGTAACAAGCTGATATGTCAATGGTACCTTAGGGTGTCGGTCATAGGATTAAACACGTGGAGCATTTGGACCAAGTGCAAAGGTTGAGTGGCAGGGATGCCATTCTCAAAACTAGCAAGCCCAAGTCCAAAATAGGACTTATAGAGGTTGTGAGTGAGACTCCTCCAAATGGTCGAGGTGTGGTTAATTGACTAAAGTAAAATGGAAAAATTAGTCACTTACAACCATTAATTTACTCTAGAACTTCCTTCACATTTGTGCTGCTTAAATCCAAGCATCCGAGTTGGAGCCATCATGTTGGCTCTTGGTACCAAAGACTATTCAATACTAGCTCTGGGGAGTTATGGATATTGGCACGCTTAAGTAAGCTTACTTCCATGTTAAAATCTCAATGTTTCATCTACACAAACCTCTAGGCCCGCATTCAAGAGCATAACGAGTGGACAAAGGAAGAATCAAGTAGCAAATTAGTGACGGCTCCATCATAGTCAAAAACCATTGAAGCAAAGGATTCTTTGCCCAAGGTGACTAACTTAATATATAAGATCAGGCGTTGGCATAGAGTCCTCGTCTCCTCCTCCTCCTGCATCACCACACTCATTGAGTTACAGATCAACCCCAAGCACAAGCCATCGAATAGTGCTACAATTTGACAGGAAATTCTCAAGCACGGTGTTGTACCGTGGACTAGAAATGCTCAGAGCAAACCCCAGTGCAGTGAATTTCATCAATCGAAAGCTCTTTTATTCAACACCTCGATAAGATTCACTTTGAGACCAGGTGGAGTTAAACGAATGTTTTGTAGAAAGTTTGGGTACTGCATTATTATGCCGAAAGAGGGCAACTTGGAAATGAAAGGGATTGAAGCTTGACGCATTGTTTTGCCGCCAAATGTTGTGACCTGGAACATTCTTATCATGTCGTCTGCCATCTCTTGAACTCAGTTCAAGCCAAGAATAAAAACACTTCTGACCGAGTGCTTCTCACTCTTCCATGTCAGTGTTCCATAGCCCCATTCGAACTTGGATGAATCAACTGTGAATTGGATCTGGAAACTTAGAACCTGGAACACGGATTTAAACCTGAGCTGTGGAGGAAACACCGCGACAGTCACTCCCGCCGGAGCTTCTACTGAAATGTTGTAGACCGACTTGCCAGCTCCAACGTTGGTAACTTTCCTGTTCACCACCGCTTTGGTGGAATTTGGCCCGCCAAACTGAGCGATGGGAACCACGATGGATGGATAGTTCAAGTCCAAGTAGGAGTCCAGGGGTGCACAAGATAAGTTCTTTCCAGTCATGAGCTCCAGCTGATCCCTTGTGTAGTTCATCGTGCATAGAAACTTCGTGTATTCATCCGGAGATATGTCGTAGACCAGGCCAGGACTAAGAGCTGCGACTGGATCAATCTGTCCGGCTCCCATCACAAATGGTGAAGCTTCTTCCCCATCGTAGTCTTTGATTGGGCTCTTTGTGTTGTCCAGGAAGCGTGCTACAAACACCAAACAAACGATCAAAGAGGGAAGACTAGTGTTTTTGTTCTCTTCGGTACCTGTTGTCATGAGAGCCGACTTGATGGCTGCTGGACTCCAACTCGGGTGCCTGGATTTGACAAAGGCCGCGGCAGCACTGGCGTGAGGACACGCCATGGAAGTTCCAGAGATTATGTTGAAGTCGGTGTACATTGGCTTGCCATAATCGTTGATGGGCTGCTCAGGACTCCATGCAGCCAGTATGTCCGCACCAGGAGCAACGAGATCGGGCTGTAAAGATAGAGTCCCAGTTTATATTAGTAAGACTCTCCTCCAGATACCTTAAGAATGCCATCGTTGGTAATATCAGGTCCCCTCGATGAGAAATCCGCAATGATTGGGGCTGGAGTGGTTTGTATGATCGTATGTGCTGGAGAGATGGTCGCTGTAGTATTCCTTGAGAAAAGTTTAAAAACCGTCAAGAAGTCTCAAACCAAAAATGCATGAAAGCTTGTGTACCTCGAGTTCTTCAGGTAGGCATTAATCTCGTCCAAGGCGCTCCCAGTGACAGCAGCTCCAGCAAGATCAAGGAAGGACACTGCCTCTGTCGTATTTTCAATCCCCAAAATTACTCCAGAGGCACCAAGTTCTTTAAGATGTCGCTGGATGGCCGAGGATGATGCAACGCCCGGACTGTATTTGCACAAGACAATCTTTCCCTTGACCTTCTTCCCATCCAAAAAGCGTCCTGCACATAGGCTTAATGCCAAGTATGTTTTAGTGATAAGCTTTCATTCAGCTGAAACAGTGTTAGTTTTATCACCTGGCCTGTCCTATTCGATCAGATCTAGAAGAAGCATCACCACCCAAAATAAGCGTTGATATATCAGCCCGCCTGGGATTCATTGCTATTCCCTGTTATATATACATGAGAAAGGAAAAATTCACGAAAAACAATCAAGTACCTGAACGGTTTTAGAGTTTCCAAGTTTGATGTCGACCGAGAACTTCCTGTCGATAGTGCTTGCTCCCACTGTCAAAATCCATGGAGCCGAGTTCTCGATGGTTTGGAAGCCTGGACCTCCATTTCCAGCAGAACATGATACAAAAATTCCCTTCTGCATTGCATGGAAAGCACCAATGGATATGGAATCCCCGTCATATCCGGTGGGATCTCCACCCAGCGATAACGAGAGAATATCTACACCGTCGTGAATTGCGTCGTCGAATGCTGCCAGAATGTTGTCACTCTCACATTCAGGCGTGCAAACCCTGTAGATCGCAAGCCTTGCGGATGGATGGCCCCCTCGAGCAACTCCTTTTCCAAGAGTTGTTAAAAAAGTGGCGTCTTTTACCAGGCTTCCAGCGATGGTGGAGGCCGTGTGAGTTCCATGCCCCTCTTCGTCCCGAGCGTTTTGATAAAGGCTCCCCACCTCCGAGTGTCCATAAGATCGAGCTCCTATAATTTTCCTGAAACAAATCACAATGCTTGAGAGATGAACCCAAGAGTGATCTTACTTGTTGCAGCGGATCGTGTGTGAATGATTGGTGATTTTGGAATTGTCACATACTCCTTTCCATCTCTTTGGCACCGGTCCCATCCCAGCGTCGTCGAAGCTCTTGGACTCCGGCCAAACACCTGGAAGTGGATAATTAACTCGGAAGTAAGCTTTTTCCATGATTACCAGTATCAAGGACTCCCACAATGACATCCGATCCAGAGCTAGAGTTGAGTTGAATGTGCGGACCACCAGAAAAGCTGTCGAGAAAATCCCAAGAGCGTGTTGTGTGGAGACTGAGTTTTTTGGAACGGAAAACCTTAACCACGCCAGGAAGCTCTGATAAACCACACGTCAAAACTCGTGACGAAAGCTTCAAAGAGAGGCATACTTGCAATGGAGTCGGCTTCGGCTTCAGTCAAGAAGGCGGAGAAGCCATTGAAACCGTGCTTGTAGCTGTGAACCAGCGACGATTCCTTGCTAAACATCAAACACAGTGAGGAGAAAAGAAAAATTGTTGCAAGAGGATTGTTTCGTACCTCCCCTTGACAGAGGCAAGAATTTGGTGATGAGACGATGTCACAGCCTCCGGTTTAGAGCTCCCAGTGTGCCCCAAGTAGACAATATATTTGCTAACAGGCTGCCAAAAACACCCAGCTTCTTAGAAATCTATCAAGCCGGAAAAAGGAAAAGATCACCTCGTTGGTTGCGGCAGCAGCAAGAACAGCAAGAGCAGCAAGAGAGAAAAAGACTCGTTCCATCCCAAGCATCGCTCCAGGGAAATCTTCTCCCCATGCGGCTCCATTTTAAAGGCTAGAGCGCGGGCGGAGGCTCCAACCACGGGCAAAGGCCACTCCGCCGAAAAACACAGCCGATCAATAAGCCTCGTCCATTTCTATCGAATCTCGCATCATATCACCAAAATCCAAAGAAAGAACCTCGCACGCATCATTCCCGCCAAATGGAGGCAACTTAAACCAGTAAACCCGAGCTAGGGCTTTGTTTTTAAAACAAAGACTAGAGTTACAAAGAGTGTTAGATCACTCGCTCTCTCTCTCGTGTCTAGGCAGAACAGGTATTACCTTCTTATAATGCAAAGTTTTTTTATGAGCAGCTTGATTAGGATGTACCCACTGTCCATAAGAAGAATTAGCAGCTGCGGTTCCACCACCACCACCACCACCACCACCGCCACTACTAGCAGCCGGCGGTGGCGGAGGCCCTGGCGGTAGAGGTGGCCGCAAGACTGGAAATCCTCCGCCTGGATTCGACGAGCTATCCTCGACGATGGCTTACAAGAGCAAGGATTAAGCTTCTTTGCGAGTGGAAGCCGAGTCTACTGGAATCCCTCTAGCAGTGAAAGCGGATCTTGTTACTACAACGATTGATCCACGAAAATCCAGCAAAGAGAAAAGGTCGAGAACTTACACGATGGCAAATGGTGGAGAGAAATCCCAGTGGAAGCCAACGCCTCCTGTGTGCTGCATGAAAGCTGCCATGTATCGTCATACGCGTCGATCGAGGAGACTGGACCCTTGAATCCTTTGGTTCACCCAGCGATGCCCACATTCCATCCCATCCACTGTCATCCTCGATCAGGGCTGGATCCTGCAAGCCCTGGCGCGGTGGTGCGCCAGAGATCCCCGAGACATTGATAGCATAGCTTAAACCCTGGATGGAAGCTTTACATGGTTGCCAAGAACACTTTCGCCGGGATGATCACTTGGAATCATACGCTTGTCTCGTCAGGTGCTGTGGCAACGCGAAAGATCTGAGCGATGCTCGCAAGATCCACGCTTTGATCGAAGGAACCCATTACAAGAACAACATCTACATTGCGAATCTCCTCGTCACTGCATATGCCCAACGAGGGCATGTAAACGAAGCAAAGTGCTTTTTTGACAGTGTAGAAGTTCCAAACGTTATCACGTGGAATTGCATGATCGGAGCGTATGGGCAAAATGGACACTTAGACGATGCTTGGGCATTGTTTAGACGCTGTTTACAGCCAAACATAATGACCTGGAACGTTCTTATCGTGTCGTTTGCCCAGAATCTACATTGTGCTGAGTCCATTCATCTCTTTGACGTTTTGAATCTGGAAGGATTCAAGCCAGACGAGCTGAGTTTCATGGGCCTTTTGATTGCTTGCTGCCACCTTGGGCTGGTAATTGCTGCTAGAGATACCTTGGCTTCAATGGTTTTTGACTACGATATAAGCCCTGAGCGAGATCACTACTGCTGCTTGATCGGTGTTCTTGCGGGAGCTGGGCTCTTGGATCTCATCAACACAATGCCATTTCTTCCAGATGTTTCCAACTGGGGATGCTTCGTGAGTGCCTGTAAGATCCACTCTGTTGGAGTGGATAGGAGTGTTGGTGCTGCTTGCAATGCCATCGCGATGGATCCTAAAAACTCAGCACCATACGACAATTTTTACTGATGAGTGGTTAAACTAGCATTTTGGTATATTTAAATTTTTTGTGAAGCTTTTTTCAATCTAACTCTCTCGAAAGTTGTTATACCAGAATATTTTACTGCTCCTGTAGTGTTGGAGCTCTGTTTCAAGGAATTCTTTACCTGCTCCAAATACTGTAAAACCACTTCTAAAACGAGCTCTTTTATAGTTAATTAAATCATTAATAATTAATTAATTATGTTTAGGGTTTAAGGTCTATTCAAGAGCACAACATGGAGAAGAAATGAAGTGTTATATATGATTTTGAAATTGTGTATTCTAATAGTAGAATTTCAAGTCTGCAGCAAATGGATATTGCTAGTCCACACAACAGTGAAGGCAAGATCCAGAACAACATTGTTGTATCGCCCCCTAGTGCAAACTAAACCAGTTAGGAAGCGATAGTGGTGGATAGTGTGGTAGTACCAGTTGCTGTCTTCTAAGTCATAAACCATCTTCGTTGTGCAGATGATTCATGCAGAAGTAGCATGCACCTGCGGAGATGAAGAACCTATCACCACTCGGCTGATGGACACCATGGCAGTACATTGAATGTGAATCAAGCTCCTACCACTCTGATCCTGGTCCTCGTCCCAAACCAAGAGTTTGATTATGTCATCTTTATAATCCTATACAACCTGCACTTGTACCAGTGGAAGCAAACCAACATCTGGAGTACTGTTGGAATTGGAATGACTTTGCACAAATTAAGCCTTACATTGTATCTTTTCTGCATCATATACATCTTTCCAAGCTCTGAAATCCTGACAAGCTGGGGGTCATGGTCCTTGTTAGGAAGTGGTTGCCATGAATTTGTGAGGGAGAAGTAGACCTTGCGCTTGCAAACCACATAGAGACGTCGCAAGGACTCCAAGCAAGGACGTGATCCTCTTCACCTCAAGTATATAATAAAGAAAAAATTAGGTTCATACTTTTAGTTACCACGAAAGCATGACAAACTGTGTGGCATGCTAAAGCAAGAGTTAAGACCCAACTATTCTGGGCACTTAGATATGTGTATGCACGAACATCTCTATAGGAGACTGTTTTCAACTTGAAGGATGAGAACACCCCCTATACTGTGAACCAGAAGAAAATCTCTTTCTTTGTTCACAACCTTGTGACCTTTTCCTTGAGACCACCATGCTCGTCCCATTGTCCTATGACCACCACCATATACTCTAGATCATATCCATGAGTTGCAAGGCCATGCGAAGGATATTTCTTTGCTCATCACCTGGTGAATAACAACAGCAGTAATTTCTGTACCTCTTGTAGAATTTCTGCTATGTTGAATTATAACTTACTACGGAAAAGCTGATATAGTTGGTACATAGCCTTTAGGGCTGATCCTTTACAATCAAATTGGTTAGACTTTTGAAAGCAAATTTATAACCATCTTGTGTTATTTAAGGTTATAAGTCATTTTTAGACTGTGCTTTCAATGTGAGAGTCTAACACTTTTTTCTTAATTATTGAATATTTTTTTTAGGATTCAAACGTACTAGATTACCTAAAAAAATACTCAAAGCTCTCAAAGCATAGGCAAACTTATTATTGAGCATTTAGCTGACAGCTATTTGATACAAAATTAAAAGAAGAGCATAATTATTTCATTGGTTATATGATTGACTTGGTTGTAAATTGATTTTTCTTTACTTTAAAGAAAAAGGACTTTTAGGATTGTGGTAGTAATGAAAGTATATGCCTCTGAACAACTAATTTTGAGGATTTTATTTATTAGTTATGATAAAAGTCAGAGACTAATAAGGAAAAAAAAGCTTTTAGTTTCCTTACACATACACCACTTTAACTATTGAATTAACTTTTGATCCTGTTTAGTATATATTAGTATATATAGTACAGTTTCAGTATATAGTTTGCCCATATATATATATATATATATATATAAAATAGTACTGTTTAGTATATAATATTTAGTCTTTTAATTAAAAAGGTAGAAAAATATACTCTAACTTTATAATGTCTATATTTGATGGTCACATAACTCAATTTTATTTTGCATTTGAATACCTTAAAAAGCCCATATAAATGAATTTCATCATAGTTTTATTCTAGAACCTGATAGATATAGTAATCTTGAAAATTACAATAAATCACATATTCTTAAGGTCATTAGTGTATATGTAAAATTCATAACTCTAATGAATTATTAAATTTATTTCTATAATAAATTTAAAATATTTAATTAAAATTTTAAGGTATTATTATTATATATTTTACAAAAATAAAAAAACCTAATATATATAATCTATATAAGCTGGAAAGTTAAATGAGCTCTTTAAAATATCAATAGTAGGACCTTAATAAATAAAAATATTTTGTGTAAAATAACTTTTATAATTTTTAATAAATAGGTAAGAATTGCTGATGTAACCAGTTTAAACAGCTAAAAACCTCTAAACCAATGATGATAATCATAAAGTGGTTAGTGCACTAAGTTAAAGTATTGCAATTAATCAAAACACTAGGTCAGAGCATCATAATATGTTGAGATATACTAGAGGTAGTAAATTTTAGTAAATTTAAATAAAGAATATGTATTAATACTAAAAAAATACTTATATTTAAGAAAATAATAAAGTGATTAGAATGATATTTTAGAAAAAATATTTAATTTTTTTTATTTTATATGGGTGGTAGGATAAACCTAGAATATGGTTGGATATTCTGGGATATTTTACCATCTAACAGTTAATATTTATTTAAATTAATCTTTTACTTATAAACATATTTATAATTTATAAACACTTCCTAGTATATTCTACTTTATTCTACCATTGAAAGTTGTAATAAAATTAGAATTAAATTTATGTAAGTAACTATCTTAATTAATAGTGTTTAAATTTATAAATAAGGTAATTATTGATTATATTATCATTAAAAATAAATAAATAAACAAGCAAGTTGCTTGTATGTAAATCTACTTGTACCTGAATAGCTTAAGGTACACAAGCTTTCATTCATTTTTGGTTTGAAAGTTCTAGAGTTTTTGTAACTTTCCTACAGCAAGCTATAATACAAGCTCCAAATAAGAAACTTTTACTTGAGGATTCTTTACATCCGGATCTAGTCTGCATCATGGAAAGCCATCAATTTACTCTGGAACTTCCCTCACACCGGTGCTGCTCAAATCCAGGTATCCGCGTTGGAGCTATCAAGTCGGCTCTTGGTACCAAAGACTATTCAACACTAGCTCTGGCGAGTTATGGATATTGGCAAGCTTAAGTAAGCTTACTTCCATGTTAAAATCTCAATGTTTCATCTAACACAAACCTCTAGGTGTTTGGCCCGCATCCAAGAGCATAACGAGCGGACAAGGAAGAATCAAGTAGCAGCTCCATCATAGTCAAAAACCATTGAAGCAAAGGATTCTTTGCCCAAGGTGGGGATGAAGAGGACTAACTTAGTATATAAGATCAGGCGTTGGCATAGAGTTCTCGTCTCTCTCATTGAGTTACAGATCAACCCCAAGCACAAGCCATCGAACAGTGCTGGGATCTTACGTTTTGTTGCTACAATTTGACAGGAAATTCTCAAGCACGGTGTTGTACCGTGGACTAGAAATGCTCAGAGCAAACCCCAGTGCAGTGAAATTGATCAATCGAAAGCTCTTTTATTCAACACCTCGTAAGATCCACTTTGAGACCAGGTGGAGTTAAACGAATGTTTTGTAGAAAGTTTGGGTACTGCATTATTATGCCGAAAGAGGGCATCTTGGAAATGAAAGGGATTGAAGCTTGACGCATTGTTTTGCCGCCAAATCTTGTGACCTGGAACATTCTTATCATGTCGTCTGCCATCTCTTCAACTCAGTTCAAGCCAAGAATAAAAACACTTCTGACCGAGTGCTTCTCGCTCTTCCATGTCAGTGTTCCATAGCCCCATTCGAACTTGGATGAATCAACTGTGAATTGGATCTGGAAACTTAGAACCTGGAACACGGATTTAAACCTGAGCTGTGGAGGAAACACCGCGACAGTCACTCCCGCCGGAGCTTCTACTGAAATGTTGTAGACCGACTTGCCAGCTCCAACGTTGGTAACTTTCCTGTTCACCACCGCTTTGGTGGAGTTTGGAATCCCGCCAAACTGAGTGATGGGAACTGCGATGGATGGATAGTTCAAGTCCAAGTAGGAGTCCAGGGGTACACAAGATAAGTTCTTTCCAGTCATGAGCTCCAGCTGATCCCTTGTGTAGTTCCTCGTGCATAGAAACATCGTGTATTCATCCGGAGATATGTCGTAGACCAGGCCAGGACTAAGCGCTGCGACTGGATCAATCTGTCCGGCTCCCATCACAAGTGGTGAAGCTTCTTCCCCATTGTGGTCTTTGATTGGGCTCTTTGTGTTGTCCAGGAAGCGTGCTACAAACACCAAACAAACGATCAAAGAGGGAAAACTATTTTTTTTTGTTCTCTTTGGTACCTGTTGTCATGAGAGCCGACTTGATGGCTGCTGGACTTCAACTCGGGTGCCTGGATTTGACAAAGGCTGCGGCAGCACTGGCGTGAGGACATGCCATGGAAGTTCCAGAGATTATGTTGAAGTTGGTGTAGATTGGCTTGCCATAACTGTTGATGGGCTGCTCAGGACTCCACGCAGCCAGTATGTCCACACCAGGAGCAACGAGATCGGGCTGTAAAGATAAGACTCCCAGTTTATATTAGTAAAACTCTCCTCCAGATACCTTAAGAATGCCATCGTTGGTAATATCAGGTCCCCTCGATGAGAAATCCGCAATGATTGGGGCTGGAGTGGTTTGTATGATCGTATGTGCTGGAGAGATGGTCGCTGTAGTATTCCTTGAGAAAAGTTTAAAAACCGTCAAGAAGTCTCAAACCAAAAATGCATGAAAGCTTGTGTACCTCGAGTTCTTCAGGTAGGCATTAATCTCGTCCAAGGCGCTCCCAGTGACAGCAGCTCCCGCAAGATCAAGGAAGGACACTGCCTCTGTCGTATTTTCAATCCCCAAAATTACTCCAGAGGCACCAAGTTCTTTAAGATGTCGCTGGATGGCCGAGGATGATGCAACGCCCGGACTGTATTTGCACAAGACAATCTTTCCCTTGACCTTCTTCCCATCCAAAAAGCGTCCTGCACATAGGCTTAATGCCAAGTATGTTTTAGTGATAAGCTTTCATTCAGCTGAAACAGTGTTAGTTTTATCACCTGGCCTGTCCTATTCGATCAGATCTAGAAGAAGCATCACCACCCAAAATAAGCGTTGATATATCAGCCGCTTGGGATTCATTGCTATTCCCTGTTATATATACATGAGAAAGGAAAAATTCACCAAAAACAATCAAGTACCTGAACGGTTTTAGAGTTTCCAAGTTTGATGTCGACCGAGAACTTCCTGTCGATAGTGCTTGCTCCCACTGTCAAAATCCATGGAGCCGAGTTCTCGATGGTTTGGAGGCCTGGACCTCCATTTCCAGCAGAACATGATACAAAAATTCCCTTCTGCATTGCATGGAAAGCACCAATGGATATGGAATCCCCGTCATATCCGGTGGTACCTAAACCCAGCGATAACGAGAGAATATCTACACCGTCGTGAATTGCGTCGTCGAATGCTGCGAGAATGTTGTCACCGTCACATTCTGGCGTGCAAACCCTGTAGATCGCAAGCCTTGCGGATGGATGGCCCCCTCGAGCAACTCCTTTTCCAAGAGTTGTTAAAAAAGTGGCGTCTTTTACCAGGCTTCCAGCGATGGTGGAGGCCGTGTGAGTTCCATGCCCCTCTTCGTCCCGAGCGTTTTGATAACGGCTCCCCACTTCCGAGTGTCCATAAGATCGAGCTCCTACAATTTTCCTGAAACAAATCACAATGCTTGAGAGATGAACCCAAGAGTGATCTTACTTGTTGCAGTGGATCGTGTGTGAATGATTGGTGATTTTGGAATTGTCACATACTCCTTTCCATCTCTTTGGCACCGGTCCCATCCCAGCGTCGTCGAAGCTCTTGGACTCCGGCCAAACACCTGGAAGTGGATAATTAACTCGGAAGTAAGCTTTTTCCATGATTACCAGTATCCAGGACTCCCACAATGACATCCGATCCGGAGCTAGAGTTGAGTTGAATGTGCGGACCACCAGAAAAGCTGTCGAGAAAATCCCAGGAGCGCGTTGTGTGGAGACTGAGTTTTTTGGAACGGAAAACCTTAACCACGCCAGGAAGCTCTGATAAACCACACGTCAAAACTCGTGACGAAAGCTTCAAAGAGAGGCATACTTGCAATGGAGTCGGCTTCGGCTGCAGTCAAGAAGGCGGAGAAGCCATTGAAACCGTGCTTGTAGCTGTGAACCAGAGACGATTCCTTGCTAAACATCAAACACAGTGAGGAGAAAAGAAAAATTGTTGCAAGAGGATTGTTTCGTACCTCCCCTTGACAGAGGCAAGAATTTGGTGATGAGACGATGTCACAGCCTCCGGTTTAGAGCTCCCAGTGTGCCCCAAGTAGACAATGTATTTGCTAACAGGCTGCCAAAAACACCCAACTTCTTAGAAATCTATCAAGCCGGAGAAAGGAAAAGATCACCTCGTTGGTTGCGGCAGCAGCAAGAGCAGCAAGAGCAGCAAGCGAGAAAAAGACTCGCTCCATCCCAAGCATCGCTCCAGGGAAATCTTCTCCCCACGCGGCTCCATTTTAAAGGCTAAAGCGCGGGCGGAAGCTCCAACCACGAGCAAAGGCCACTCCGCCAGGCGATCAATAAGTCTCGTCCATTTCTATCGGATCTCGCATCATATCACCAAAATCCAAAGAAAGAACCTCGCACGCATCATTCCCGCCAAATGCAGGCAACTTAAAACACTAAACCCCAGCTAGGGCTTTGTTTTACCGCATTAAAACAAAGACTAGAGTTACAAGGAGTGTTAAATCACTCGCTCTCTCTCTCGTGTCTAGCTAGCTTCTATGACGCCTTTGCTGTGAAGGGGCCGCAACGCTAGCCTTCTTATAATACAAAGTTTTTTGATGAGCAGCTTGATTAGGATGTACCCACTGTCCATAAGAAGAATTAGCAGCTGCGGTTCCACCACCACCACCACCACCACCACCACCGCCACTACCAGCGGCACTACTAGCAGAAGGCGGTGGCGGAGGCCCTGGCGGTAGAGGTGGCCGCAAGACTGGAAATCCTCCGCCTGGATTCGACGAGCTATCCTCGACGATGGCTTACAGGAGCAGGGATTAAGCTTCTTTGCGAGTGGAAGCGGAGTCTCTCTAGCAGTGAAAGCGGATCTTGTTACTACAACGATTGATCCACGAAAATCCAGCAAAGAGAAAAGGTCGAGAACTTACACGATGGCAAATGGTGGAGAGAAATCCCAGTGGAAGCCAACGCCTCCTGTGTGCTGCATGAAAGCTGCCATGTATCGCCATACGCGTCGATCGAGGAGACTGGACCCTTGAATCCTCTGGTTCACCCAGCGATGCCCACATTCCATCCCATCCACTGTCATCCTCGATCAGGGCTGGATCCTGCAAGCCCTGGCGCGGTGGTGCGCCAGAGATCCCCGAGACATTGATAGCATAGCTTAAACCCTGGATGGAAGCTTTACATGGTTGCCAAGAACATCTTTCGCCGGGATGATCACTTGGAATCATACGCTTGTCTCGTCAGGTGCTGTGGCAACGCGAAATATCTGAGCGATGCTCGCAAGATCCACGCTTTGATCGAAGGAACCCATTACAAGAACAACATCTACATCGTCCAAATGTATGGCAAATGTGGGAGCTCTGGCGACGCACGCAGCGTGTTTGATTCCCTTCGCACCCCCAACTCCTTTTCATGGACAATCCTGCTCCAAGCCCACATTCACAACCAGCAGCTCCACGAGGCCAAGCGCGTTCTCGATTCCATGCCCGGGAAGAATGTAGTGACTTGGAATGCGCTTCTTTCGGCAAATGCCAACAGCGGGCAAGTTCATAAAGCCAGGCTTGTTTTCGATCGAATTCCAGAGTGGGACGTTTTTTGCATGAATGCTATTGTCACTGGGTTTGCGAAAGCTGGAATGATCAGCCAGGCTAGAAACCAATTTGAAAACATGCCAGCGTGATTTCCAGAAAGAGTACGTGCCTCGCTTCCATGCTTTAGATGCTCAAATGATTCTTTCATTCGCTTTCGCTCGCATAAATTACTCGTGTTGACAAGAAAAGAGTTGAAGTGTGTGTGAGAGAGAGAGCTGTGTGTGTGTAAGTGTGTAACTTATCATGTAGATTCCCCTGCATTCCCTGTCCTTTTGCTTCCTTTTTTTGTTCCATAGGCCAATGGATCGCTTGCTTCTTCTCTCCTCTTGCACTCTGCTTCGTCAGTTTCACTCGGGAAAACGTATTCTTAAGTAATTGTTCGTTGGCCTCGGCGAGAAACGAAGGCTTTCCCCATTTTCTCCAGAGATGATCTTAAGACGTTGTTTTCTTGTGAGAATCGGTGCTCCTCCTCCCCAGCACCATGCATTTGATGATTCCACGCCACCATTTGCCTCGTCATATGCTCACTGCCGCTGTTCTTCCTCTGCTTCCAGAGCACAGGCGCCAGAAAACTTTGAAGAGGCATTGTGAACTTGACACCATTTCCTCCAGGTATTTCATCTCTTGTTTGATCGTTTTCTTGACGATGTTCACCTCAGGTAATCCAAGCTTTCAGGCATGGTGAAGTTCCAGAAGCAGCTCGTCCCAGAGTGGCGGGTGAAGTACTGCGACTACAAGCAGCTCAAGAAAGCTGTCAAGAGAATCAAAAACCAGATCCTACATACCAAGAACCAGGAGCACAAGGTGTTCGATCCAAATGTCTTCTCGGTTGACAAGAGCAAGCTTCAAAACTTGCTGCAAAATCCCAGCGCCATTCTGAGCAGCTGCTGCGAACAATCCATATCCTCGGAAACGTCCATGGTTTGTGATGATGTTCTGGACTGTAAAGACAAAACAAAACACTTCAATATGATCAGGTTGTGCACAAGACGAGAACTGGAGATGGCGAGGATTTTTACGAGACGGAGCTGTTCGGAACTCGATCGGATCACGAAAAGAGCTTCTTTTTCGGCCTTGACGATCAGCTCAACAAAGTGGACAAGTTTTTTAGATGCAAGGAAGACGAGTACGATGCTCAAGCACAGCAACTTCACATCTAAATGGAAGAGCTCATCGCTATGCAAGGTAGCCTCTAATTCTGTAGCACTTAACTTGGAATTGTTTGATCTCTGCCATGTTGTAGATGACGAATCTCAGAGTTTGAAGGGGAGCCCCGGCAACAAAGGAAAGGTTCAGCGAGCAGCCAAGATGCTCCAGACGGCCTTTGTCGAATTTTATCGTGGGCTTCGACTCCTAAGAAACTTCAGGTGAATGACCTCTAGATCCATGTTCTCAAAGTGTTGAAAACTTACTTGCCAGCTCCTTGAACATGATGGCATTCGTCAAGATCCTCAAGAAATATGACAAGGTACTTATGGAAAATGGCAAATTACTGCAGACTTCTAAAAAGGTTTTTTAAATTCTCAGGTGACTGGACAGAATGCGTCTGGCAGTTATCTGAAGATGGTCGAAACTCTCATTTTGCAACGTTGGATAAGGTGTGAAGAAATTTTCCTTTGGGGGTCTTGCTGATGGGATTTCATTGCTCCAATGCACTCCAGGTAGTAAAGTTTATGGACCATGTAGAGAGAGTGTTCACTCTGCACTTTACAAAAGGCAACCGAAAGCAAGCCATGGCATATCTCAGGCCCATACACTCTGCGAGCAATCATGGGAATATAAACTTTATCCTGGGTAAGAGCAGGATATCCATTTCATTCATTCGGATCTTCGTTATTAATTAACCTTCTTCTATTAAAATCTATAGGCCTCTTCAGTGGTTGCTCCTGGAGTCTCCTAGCAGCGTTTGTGTTAATCCTTGTGCTTGGAAACAAGGACGGGATCACAACGAAGCACATACAAGCAGTCTTCCCCATGTTCAGGTAAACAGTGCCATACTTTTATGAAAAGTTTTGTATCTTTTGTTTCTTACAGCACACTTTTCTTGTTCGTGCTACACTTGTACATGTATGGAATGGAGCATTTACGTCTGGAAGCAGGTTCGCATCAACTACACCTTCATTTTCGAGTTTTCACCCAAGCAGGAGCTCAGACACCAAGACGTGCTTCTTCTCAACACGGGCTTGACAACTCTTATCATAATTGGAATGATCTTTCATCTCGCAACTTACACAGTTACTCACGTTGATAGCGAAATCATCGCGCTCGTTGTCTTCCTGGTGCCAATACTCTCCATTGTACATTCCACCTATGATCGACATTTGTGACAAGACTAGGGTATGTTCACGCATTTATACTCATTCTTTCATGGTGTGGATCAAAAGCGAGAACCAGACACACTCAGGTCGGAACGACAGGGATCAAACTCATCAGTAATAACGGAGAGGTTTGTATTCTGGATTGAATCCGCGTCTCTCAACAAGCTTTTGAAAATGGAAGGAGAAGCTTTCATTCCAAAGATTCAAGCTTTTGTTTCAAGAAGTATCGCAGTTGCTTTCGTCTTGTTCAGCAAAACCAGAGAAGAGAAACACTGCTCCTAACTTTCACGCGTATGTTCTTTGAGGACCTTTTTAGGTGCAAATAGAAGTACAGAAGCAACTACACGCACAGCTGGAGGTTACGTTTTCTCTTTTTTCTTTCCGGTGTAGACCTCTGGGTTCTGTTCTTTTCTCCAGCTCCAAATCGAAGCACAAGCCAAGAACTGCAAGAACGAGCCAAAGGAGGCTGCTCCAGCAGCACTGCAGTCGACAGAAACCAGCATCTGGTCACACGCCAAGTGCCTTGAAGGAAGAGCAAAGGCAAAATTCTATCACCATTGATGATGGGACGCAGAGATTGTATACTAGTGGTTTCATGTCAATCGCATTGCCTCTAGAAAAGGAAAGCACTCACCATACCTCTGAGAATAACTGTAATCTATTCATTTAATTTTCAGCTAAAACTTTCAGAGATCACCGGACCTTATCGCTTCTTTTTGCTGCGCTCTTTGGAAGGTTTGGTAGCCTCCTCTTCGAAGTCTCGCGAGCTGCAAATCAAACAATGTTGTTGAGAGGATTCCTTCTTGAGACACCACTTTACCTTGTCAGCGTGTCTCTGCCAAGTCAAATCCATCCTTCCTGAGCTCCTGATAGATGCAAAGAGCATGAAGAACGAGCGAAAGAAAACCTGCGTCGTCATCTTTCCAGTGTGTTGGGTGTGACCGTAAGGTGCCATTTGCCAATACATGATCGTCCGAGAGAAAAAATCTCTCAGCGTTTCTCCAGGCTGAAAGACAAATCAATCACAAAACGGGAAGATGAACTACTATCATCACTCATCAAAGGTGTTCGTTGAAAATCAGCCAGGCCCAGCTCAGCCCGTATTTGATCGATCTTTGATCGTTTCATCGTCAGCCTCTTGCCTTCACCCCTCAAGAATAGCAGCTGCTCTTCAACTAGTTGCGATGACTCTGTTGCATCCTGGAATACAAGAGTAAACATACAAGTTTTGTTACATCTTTTTTTTTTCCTACCTCACAATCGTCCTCTGTTCCATTCTTAATCGATCCAGCATCACTGTTGTCATAATCACTTTCGCCTTCCTCCTCACTAGCTTCAATCCACTGGCTTTGTGTTTCCTGCTTGAGACATTAGTACGAGGCTGGATGATCCCTCGATCATAAAAACACTAACCTCAATAATGCACTTCCACACATCGAGTTGATTCAGGTCCAGTGAGAAAAGATTGTCGAGTGTCACTTTTTTTCACCGACTTCTGTCATACCTCCATACAGAAACAAAGTATCCTTTCCAACGACCATTCCAGCATTGATTTTTCCACGAGGCAACAACCTTCAAGCAGAACGCTCAACGTTCAGACGCATTTTCCACATTTGGATCGACCACTTTCTTCTGCTTTGGATGCACACTTAACCACCACACAATCTCAGATTGCCATACCTTAATCTTTAGGCTCTTTGGCTTGCGAAGCTCCAAAGGATACCTGCGAGCGATGGTGTTTAGATAATTTAGAGAAACAATCGACGAGATACAAACCATCTAGAAAGCATATACATCTCGATCATAAAAACGTTGTGCAGCGAATCACCTGCAAAAGACATTAGTTTTTCCAACGCATGCATTCAAACCGTAATCATCAGTATCAACTACACCACCAAACAAGATGGCTCGTCTCTTGTGGACAAAAATCCTGCTCTTACCGGATTCTTTCACCTTCACAAAACACAGCAAAAAACTAAAACTCCAAACGAGAATGTAAAAGAAGCAAACCTTGTCCCACTCCCAATCCGTGGATCTAACGTCCACATATCTGCGAGTACTACAGCTTTGTCGGATTGATCTTTGTCAGAGGCAGGCTGTTTAAAATAGCCACCGTAAAAGAAAATCTTAAGGAAACGAAAAAATGTTCACAACACGCAAAACTATACTTTTAGTAGACAAATACCTCATCTAAATAAACAGCAAGCTGAAAATCAGTTCTAGCTGAAGGCCAGGCAGCTCCAAACTTGGTTTTATTTCTTGCCACTGTAAAAGGAAATCAGTTTAGTTGTTTAAAAAACAATGAGCGACAGAAACAAACCTTATAATTGTCTAAGTCCAGCACTTAAAGATTATTAAAGTACCTGTGTCAAAAATTCAATACTAAACATCTACACTGCTGAAACAGCCGACCTTACTTCCCTCAACGTGTCATAAAATCGACCAAATAGAATAAGTTTATGTTTGTAGAGAACCTGTGGCAAGAAAGAAAAAAACATAAAGATTATGTTTAGAAGCGCAATTCATACCAATCTATGTCCGAAACGAGCACCTGGACAGCCTTTTAGTTGGAGCTGCTCCCACACATTTGTGTTTGAATCCAGTCTCCATAAATCCTGCAAAAACTCTCTTGCAAGTCAGCTAGAAACACACCTAATAGTGATGAAACCGAATTCACCACCTACACTGCCAAAAGCAAGAGAAGCCCTGGAAAAATACATCATACCAATAATGAAGAGCCAGTTTTTCCACGCAACCGCCTGGAGGAGAGTTTGGACTGGTGACAGGCTTCCACTCGTTCTTCTCGATGTTGTATTGGTAGAGATCACCATAAACGTAAGTCTAGCATAGCAAACACGAAGATCAAATCACCGTAGCGAAACTAATCACAAACCTTGTCACCATTGTTAGTATTCACCTCCATAGACGATCAGCTCAGTGTCCTTGATGGGATTTACAGTCACCTGAAACGCAAGAAAAGAAGAATTCTAGAGAATGTGAGCTTCCAGAGTGGAGATTTCAATCGAATTCTTACGCACAGAGCAATTGCATTGTGGTGAAGGAGCTGCTACATTCTCATCGACATGAATTTCGCTCTTCTTTGCTTTCTCCTCGTGGAGTTTAGCCTGACAAAAAGGAAAACGATTGAGAGTCTTTGGCCAGAGCTTTGCTTACCAAGATCGCACCAATATCATCCTCGTCCCACACCTTCTTCTCGTCGCCATGAGCTCGCCGCCTTGACCGTCTTGCTCGAAAAACCCTAAAACCTAAATTTGTTGTCCACTTTCTTAGTGCTTTGCTTCCATACTATGGCTTTGCTTCCACACTTCCACAGCTGGCACATGCTTTGCTTCCACAGCTGGCATATACTTTGCTTTTCTTCCACAGCTGGCATACTTCTTTGCTTCCACTGCTGGCAAGGTTCACTTTTACAAGTTTACTCGTGCTGTCCACTGCCCCTTCGATCCAGGGCAAACTTCCATGGAGGAGGAGGAGCGACGAGTGTGGATCGACTGTGGCTCTGTCAAGCAGATCAAGGAGGCTCTCGCAGCGAAGCGGGACAACAAGCGGCACTTCAATGCGATTCGGTTTTCTTGTGGGGCGATCTGTGACCCATCCGAAGGTGAGTTTGTTGATAAGGTGAGTGCTACCGTCGAGAGTTTTGGAGGCACAGAGGAGGATCTGATTGGTGTGCTCAACTGGTGCATTTCAAATCCGCCCTGTTTAGACAGGGCTCTGGATGTGGGAGATGCTCCTGGTGATGGCAGTTCGTCTGCTGCTGCTGCTGCTCACATTGACATTCTCAAGGCCGCTTTGGTACCACAGCTCGACATCAGATTCATCCACTTCGCTGCCAGGGTCGCTTGTACGTTGGGCATTCCCAGTGATCGAATGCAAAGGGTGGCAGAGGGCATTGCTCCTCCTCAGCAGGGACAGGATATTGGCCAGATTGAGGGGCAGAGGTTTGCAAAGCTACTGATGATGACAGAGGAATTCAAGGTCTTGAAAGTGCTAATATTCTATTGGGAAGGCAAAGACACCCTCACACCACCTCAGGAGCTTGAGTTGGCCTTTGCTCAGCTCGACTGCTTGACAGAGCTCTGGTTGATCAATGTTGGGAACCCAGAGACTCTCCTTAGCCAACTCCTTAGGAAAGCAGGAAACAACTTGAAACGTCTCGAATTGCTGGCGAACAGGATGACAGTGGAAGGATTTGGGAAATTGAGTAGGGATCTGGCAAGTCAGGAGTGCAAGGTGGAAGAGTTAGTCATCCTGGATAAGGACATTGACAAGGAAGGGTGGGAACAGGCATTTCAGAGTGGCATTTGCAATAAGCTAGTAGAACTGAAGGCATGGTTTCCAGAGGGGGCAGGTGAAGCACTCTTCAAGGCACTCACGAGTCCAAACTGTTCGCTGCAAAGACTATTCCTATTTTCGGGTACTGATGCTGGAGTGTTGCCATGGGTATGCAAGGCTCTTCAGGAGGGCACCAGCCTGTCAGTTTTAGATTGCCGATATATGAGACAGAGTGAGGACCTGAGCAATGCAACGGGCCTGGGTGAGGCCCTGAGCAGCGCTAAGTGTGGCTTGGAGGAACTCACCGTTACACTTTATCCAGGTGATGGTGGTGGATGGTTGGGCAAAGCGCTACAAAATCCCAATGGCAAGCTGATCAAGCTCAAGCTTGAACTTGATTGTCCCAACGAGGGAGGAGGAATGGTCTGTGGCAGCAGTCTGTGGTCAGCTCTCTCAAGTCCACATTGTAAGCTGCGCCATTTGGAAATAACTGGTATCTCGGGAAGAGAGTTACCGTTGGAGATTGCCAAGGGCATAGAGAAGAGCCAACTGGAGCATTTGGGTATATGGAGGTGCAAAATCACGAATGGGGAGCTCTTTTGGAAAGCTATCACCAGCTGCAAGTATCTGAAAGCTTTGTCATGTGAGTCGGAACTGCCATGGAGGTGCCTCTTGGGAAGCAGCATTGAAGACTTAAATATTCAATTTAAGTCAGAAATTGAAAAGCTGGAAGAGCTTTGCCAGTTGCTGGGGGATCCAAAATGCAAGGTGCGCAGATTCAGGGCTCCTTATCTTAGAAGTGATGCACAGAAAAGACAAATTCTGGCTGCCCTGGAGGAAAACTACCAAAGCCTCGCGGAAGAGCTTGATATAGGCAATGATTCCGAAGCTTCTGAAGCTTTCAAGCAGAGGTGTTCTGGTCTTTTAGAGCGGAATGCAATCTTCCAGCAGAGTGCATTCAAAGACTTTGACAACCCGTCAACAGCAAAGCTCTTCTTGTGTGGTGCTAGCGGGGTTGGAAAAACCACAATAAAAAACAACCTCTGCCGCAGAGTGTCTTGGTTTCCATCATGTCTCCAAAGGCATGCTTCAACAGCAGGCATTGAGCTGCAACCACTTGTCTATGCAACCACCAAACAAAAGCTACTCATTTGCGACCTAGCTGGACAGGAAGAGTTCCATGTTTTCCACCAGTACTTTCTTAGAGGAAGTGAGAAGGATCTCTTCTTGATCGTATGCAAGGTGGAGGATGGCAATTGTGAGGTTTTCAAGCAGAATTTGGTTTATTGGCTGAGGTTCATTGCTTCACATCAGTCAGCCTCACCCAAAAGGAAGCCCAGGGTCTTGATTGCCCTGAATTTTTTCTCTCCAAAACCAGGCTATGACCCAATGGAGGTGGTTTCTGCAATAATCTCTGACAAAGGCTATGGGCAAGTACTTGAGCTTGGAAATGATACGGCAGACTTTTGTTTTAAGGTGGTGGCCACCCGAGTGACAGATTTAAGGGGGATAAAAACCATGTTGGGGAGTTGCTTGGACAAATTGCTGTCAGCCCAGCAACAAATACCACGGGAATGTCTCAATGCAAAGAGGAAACTGGTACAAGGTGCAAGTCACAAGAGGTCATACCCCTAGACAAAGTTGGTGAAATCCTCTTGCCTAACAGCAGTTCCAAAAGCAGAGAAGCCAGAAAGAACATTGTTAAATTCGTCTTGCAGTTTCTACATGATTGTGGAGATGCAATTTACTTTGGCTTGGGACATGAAGAGGGTGACATTGTGCCTCAATTTGTCATCTTAGATGTCCAATGGTTTATGAGGGATGTGGTGCAACTCTTCATACCTACAGAGAAGACTAGCAAACTCAAAAGTCGAATGGAAACACATGAAGTTAAATATCAATTGCAAGAACAATGTGGGAACCAAGACAAAATAGTGGAGTACATTCTTGGAGTGCTCCATGAGATGGGAGTGATATTGCCTTGGGATGATACATGGGATGGGAATTGGCATAACCTGCCCAAGGACTTGATAGTGCCAACACTATTGCAAGAAGAATATTCACCTCCAGAATATTTATTATTGCCATCAGACACTCAAAAAAACCACAATTATTGGGGTAGGAGGTTTCAATGCAAAGACAAGGAACTAAAATTGTTTCCTGCAAGTATTTTCTCAAAAATCCAAGTTAAGCTTCACAAATTATGCAAGCAAGGTGTCAGGCTTGGGAATGGATGGGTGGCTTTGAAAGAGAACCTTATCGAGACAATTGTGAGAGTTGGGGGAGACACAGACAATTGGAAAGATAGGCAATGGGTTGATGTCATCATATATTTGCCAAAAGAGGTAGAGAATACACCAAGGCCAGATTTGGAAAAGGAAGCTGAAGGATGGATGGAAAAAGTTAGAGGTTACATTATTGGGTTATACATGAAGGATTGCCCAATTTTGGAAATTGAAGAAAATGTGATGAGACGTGGTTATGTGTGGAGAAAGATACTAAATAAGGTAAATAAACCAAAATCATGGGATGCAGTTATTTGTCCGCTAAAGCAAATTAAATGTGAAGGAAGAGAAAAAGATCTAAACTACTCCCACACCTGGAATGATTCGTGTGAAGTGGATAGTTGGGATCTGATCAATGATTTGAAGGTCTCAGATGAAAATTCTTTGACTAAGTTATTGATGCCTAATGAGCAGCAACATGAAGTGGTGGAGAAGCTTGTTGAACTTTATGAACTCTTAAAGGATTATGAGGAAGTTGTAGGAGTCACAATTGCCAAGGCATCATCAAATATTGATAAAATTCCAAATGTTAAAGAATTGGAGTTTGATGCAGTCTTCAAATATATTGATAAAAGGTTTGATAAAGTGGATAACTATTTTGACAAAGTGGATATGAAACTTGATGACATTAAAATAAGCATCGACAAGCTCAAGAATGAACTCAAATCTACAATCTACAAAGTGAATGCAATTTATGCAAGCTATTTACAGATATTATTGAAATTAGAGGTGGACTACCCAAAGTATCCATATATTGTTGATGGGAACAACATGTGGAAGAATTACAATAAATTATTGGGAACATGTGTTAAACTTCATTATATGTGTGAATGGCCTAAGGGAGCTTATGCTTATGAAGTTGGAGCTCATCAAGTAAAGGATTTTATGGGTTTTGACTTAGATCTCCCACCAAATTGGCTCAAGAAATTTGCTCCAGTACTAAAACCAATATTGATTCTTTTGTTTATTGGGGCTAAAGTTGGAGGAAAGTTTGCTGGTGTTGGAGAAATAGTGAATGCAGTGGTGGATGAGACTAAGGGAAGCCTCATAAACTTTCTAGATTCATATCTTCTCAATAGCAAGCTTGTTATAAATCCTAAAGCCGAAGATTTGCAAGAGATATTCAAGCTAATAAAGACTAAAATTGGGAAAGAAATAGATGAGAAAGCAATCATGGCTAAATACTTTGCTCTTCATCCTATATCCCAAGATGGCAAAATAATATGGGTCTGCAAAGGTATTTAGCATTTAATGATATCCATTTTCTTAATTCTATCTAACAAACACTATACAGAGCACTCAAAGCAAATCATTAACTATATTGGTTTTTGAGGTTGTTTAGTAAAGTGAAGGTAAGTTAAACATGCTCTATACTATGTCAAGTGTTTTTAGTATGATTGGTCTACATTTTTTAGCACAAGTTGATGAGGTACTTTTACATTCTAAAATATTTTTTCATGTTTATTATAGTGTTTTATGTTTATTTCAGAAAGAAAAGCTACTCAAGTGATTTCATATTAACAATATTTTTAATTTCGACATCTTTAGCAAAACAATCCCAGAAATGAAGGTAATTGGCATTGATAAACCTCTTAAAAGGTAATGCTATTGTAGAGCATCTTGGAGAGTGAGAGAGGATGTTCCATAGAGGGGTAAATACCTTTTCTCTTGCCTTCCTCTATCATTCAAGACTACTCAAAGTACAAAATCATCATAGCTTTTGGGACAGTGGTGCAAGGCATCTATGGCAATTTGGCTTAGTCAACTCCAACATGGCATATGTTGGAGTCTCCAGCCTTCTAAGGCTTCCAAAGACATCATCATGCACTTCTTCATTATATGAGGCCTTCCTCCACCAGCTCGTGATTGTCTCCAATCTCAATGGTACGCATCACAATGCTGCGTAATGCGCTCTGGCTGGGGATTATTTCCATGACTCGCTTCTGGTGTTCTCGACTGGAAGATCGCCGACAAGGCCTTGCTTGGTGAGGCCGCTACTCACACTAGAGGCCACGATCTTGTCTGTGGGGACAGAAATTATGTATGGCGCTGCCATAGATTCTGGATGGGAGCAAGAACTAAACAAGGGGTGCGTTGGTAGAGACTTCCAAGTTTCCAGCATTCCAGGTAGAAAAATTCCATATCCTCTCTTTGATTGCGTTTACAATGTTTTTCTCTATCTCGTCCTGGCTTTTTCTTAGTTTTTTTCCTGTAGGAACAAACAGAACAACGACCTCACAAAGTCAGCTTCAAGCTGAAGAAGGCAGAGGCTCCTCAGGTTGTGGAGACACTGTTGAAGAGATTGATCAAGTGTGGGGCAAGTTTTTAGAGGATCGTTCAAAGCTTTTGTGATTTTAATCCTTTTTCTTTTTTGTTCTTCCAGTTGGATGTAAAAATCATCAGGACAGGATATGGATGTTCTCCCTTGAGCAGCTGACAAGGGACAGCTCATGAGGGAAGGCAGAGCTCCTCAGAAAGTTCTTGTGATGCTGAGCTCTTTGCCGTCAAAGACGTTTTTGGAGTTATCGTAAGTTCTTGAAGTCGATTGATCACTCCTTAACTCACTGACTATCTCAGGTCGGGAGTTTGAAGAGCTTACGCAGTGGTACCTTGACAAAGCCAAAGACAATCCCAAGATCTTTCGTGGCACTGAAAGATGCACTTCGGGAATGTTACAAGCTATCCGAGAGTTCAAGTTCGATCCTCGTGTTTCGCACAGAGATGCCGACTTACTGGAGCCGTGCTACTGCGTGAGATGGTTATGAGGTGAGGTTGAAAGCTCCCACGAGACTTGAAAAGGCCAATGGTAAGTTCCTCGTGTTTAGTAGTTTTGGATGCGTCAGCAACGAAATGGCTGGCAGGCCCCTGACCCAACGCTGGTCACTCCGTGCGGACTAGAAGACTAGAAGACTTAGAAGCGTTGACATTCTACGTCCCCTCCACGGTATTCATAGAGACCTTCTGTATGTGGGTTGATAAACTTCGTGCGACAAAGGTTGGGGACGTTACTTGGGTTGTCAAGTTTGATAAGTGGCAGCGAACTGGTACGTTAAGTTCTTTCTGAGTCATATGCATTATTCTTTTGCATTCCAGACGAAGAGCTGAATTATCGCTTGACAACCGCCGTGTTTCAATGTAAGGTGGCATTCTTATCGCTTTGTTTTGGTGGAGTCATTCAGCTTTGCTTCTCTTACAGGATGACATGCCTTATGCGAGTGTATTACGAATCCACGAAACGTGGCTTGATGGTTATGCAGGAAGACCTTTGGTCCTAATGTAGGAGGCACAGCCAACCATAGGCGAAAAATAAGCAGGGACGAGTCTTCGTCCAGGTGACCATGTAAAAGTTATCAGCTCTGGAATCTAATTTTGTGGATGCTGCTGTGTGTGCAGTGGCATACAAATATATTCCAGGTTTACTGAGTTTGATATATGGTGAAGAAAAACGAGACAGAGGCCAGTGTGGAGCCCCTACTGCGACGATCCATGGTCGAGGTCGACTTACAACGCGTTGAAAAGGAGCCAGGTCTACACTTAATGGAATGGAATGTGGATCCAAACGCAAACGCGTGTATATTCCATCTATGATCGACAAGTCTTTAATAATCCACTCCAAACGGTAGCGTCACTTGCAACAAGACGAGGGTATGTTTACACATTTATACTCATCCATTCATGGTGGTTGCTGTAGAACAGGGTGACATCAGGATCAAAAGCGAGAATCAGGCACACTCGGGTCGGAACGACAGGGACCAAACTCATCAGTAGCAACGGAGAGGTTTGTATTCTGGATTTAAATCGCGTCTCTCAGCAATCTTTCGATGAACAGCAAATGGAAGGAGAAAAGGCCCGGCGGGTTGGGCTCCACGTCGTCAACAAAACGATGCGGATCAATGTTAAAAACTCACAGACTGGTACGTGCAATGCTTTACAGCCAGAAGTTTTGGCTTTCTTAGCGAAGAATCGTGCAGACAAGGAAAAGGAAAAGTATAATCGGGCCACTAACAAGGTGGAGCATTGCGAATGGAAGATAAGCTAAAATGCATTTATTTTCGTTCTCTTTCTTTCTCCGTGGTATGGGGGACTTCTCTCAGCATATCCCGAGCTGCATGTCCAGTGATTCAAAGCAAAGTTCTCACCCTTATACCCCTCTTTGATGATAGTCGGGCAATTATCACACCACTATTCTTCCATGTCTTGAGTGTCTCTAATCGGCCAACCAGAGTATAAAATGCGACCACCACCTTCATTGCAAACTCCCCCTGCTCCCTCTTCCTCTCGCAAAGGAGAGAAAGCTCCAAGTTCTTGAGTGAGCAAAGGGCTCTCACCTCGAGAACTCGACAAACTCTCTCGAATCCAAGCTTGGCTCCTTTGGTTATTCTTCTCTTCGTCCCCTTTCAAAAGTAAGCTTGTTTTGTTTTGCCTCTGCTTTCGTGGTTCTGAGCTTGTGATTCTTTCAGTTTGGTTGCGCCAGCAATCGGGACTCCGACGAAACAAAACGTTCCATAAGCGTGATTTCCAGAAAGAGTACGTGCCTCGCTTCCTTCCATGCTTTAGATGCTCAAATGATTCTTTCATTCCCTTTCGCTCGCATAAATTACTCGTGTTGACAAGAAAAGAGTTGAAGTGTGTGTGAGAGAGAGCTGTGTGTGTGTAAGTGTGTAACTTATGACAGCTTCTTTTCATGTAGATTCCCTTGCATTCCCTGTCCTTTTGCTTCCTTTTTTTGCTCCATAGGCCAATGGATCGCTTGCTTCTTCTCTCCTCTTGCACTCTGCTGCGTCAGTTTCACTCGGGAAAACGTATTCTTATGTAATTGTTCGTTGGCCTCGGCGAGAAACGAAGGCTTTCCCCCTTTTCTCCAGAGATGATCTTAAGACGCTGTTTTCTTGTGAGAATCGGTGCTCCTCCTCCCCAGCACCATGCATTTGATGATTCCACGCCACCATTTGCCTCGTCATATGCTCACTGCCGCTGTTCTTCCTCTGCTTCCAGAGCACAGGCGCCAGAAAACTTTGAAGAGGCATTGTGAACTTGACACCATTTCCTCCAGGTATTTCATCTCTTGTTTGATCGTTTTCTTGACGATGTTCACCTCAGGTAATCCAAGCTTTCAGGCATGGTGAAGTTCCAGAAGCAGCTCGTCCCAGAGTGGCGGGTGAAGTACTGCGACTACAAGCAGCTCAAGAAAGCTGTCAAGAGAATAAAAAACCAGATCCTACATACCAAGAACCAGCAACACAAGGTGTTCGATCCAAATGTCTTCTTGGTTGACAAGAGCAAGCTTCAAAATTTGCTGCAAAATCCCAGCGCCATTCTGAGCAGCTGCTGCAAACAATCCATATCCTCGGAAACGTCCATGGTCTGTGATGATGTTCTGGACTGTAAAGACAAAACAAAACACTTCAATACGATCAGGTTGTGCACAAGACGAGAATTGGAGATGGCGAGGATTTTTACGAGACGGAGCTGTTTGGAACTCGATCGGATCACGAAAAGAGCTTCTTTTTCGGCCTTGACGATCAGCTCAACAAAGTGGACAAGTTTTTGAGATGCAAGGAAGACGAGTACGATGCTCAAGCACAGCAACTTCACATCCAAATGGAAGAGCTCGTTGCTATGCAAGGTTCGTTATAGCAGCCTCTAAATCTGTAGCACTTAACTTGGAATCGTTTGATCTCTGCCATGTTGTAGATGACGAATCTCAGAGCTTGAAGGGGAGCCCGGCAACAAAGGAAAGGTTCAGCGAGCAGCCAAGATGCTCCAGACGGCCTTTGTCGAATTTTATCGTGGGCTTCGACTCCTAAGAAACTTCAGGTGAATGACCTCTAGATCCATGTTCTCAAAGTGTTGAAAACTTACTTGCCAGCTCCTTGAACATGATGGCATTCGTCAAGATCCTCAAGAAATATGACAAGGTACTTATGGAAAATGGCAAATTACTGCAGACTTCTAAAAAGGTTTTTTAAATTCTCAGGTGACTGGACAGAATGCGTCTGGCAGTTATCTGAAGATGGTCGAAAACTCTCATTTTGCAACGTTGGACAAGGTGTGAAGAAATTTTCCTTTGGGGGTCTTGCTGATGGGATTTCATTGCTCCAATGCACTCCAGGTAGTAAAGTTTATGGACCGTGTAGAGAGAGTGTTCACTCTGCACTTTACGAAAGGCAACCGAAAGCAAGCCATGGCATATCTCAGGCACATACACTCTGCGAGCAATCATGGAAATATAAACTTTATCTTGGGTAAAAGCAGGATATCCATTTCATTCATTCGGATCTTCGTTATTAATTAACCTTCTTCTATTAAAATCTATAGGCCTCTTCAATGGTTGCTCCTGGAGTCTCCTAGCAGCGTTTGTGTTAATCCTTGTGCTTGGAAACAAGGGCAGGATCACAACGAAGCACATACAAGCAGTCTTCCCTGTGTTCAGGTAAACAGTGCCATACTTTTATGAAAAGTTTTGTATGTTTCCAAGTTCTTTTGTTTCTTACAGCACACTTTTTCTTGTTCGTGCTAGTGGAGCTTCATCAACCTATAGTATATATAAGTTAGTTTTGTTCCATTTTTCCACAATTTGAATTAACACCAGTCTAAGGCTTCTTCTTTGTTTCCACTAGCTTTTCCTTTTGTCTTTTGCATTTTTTAGTCTTGATCTTGTTGGGGGTCTTAACAATTTGATTTAGATTGTGTTTTTTCGTTTTTTGCTTTAGCTCGTTTTGATTGTTTGACTACCTTTGCCATTTTCCCCCCTTTTTCTTTCTTCTTGCCAATGGAGTCTCCAAGCCATCTTGATTTCTTTGCCGAAGTCCTTGCAAAAATCCAGTCTGAGAATACCGAGCTGAAGGTGACCCTTCTTTGCATGCAACAGGAGCTTGTTTCACTTTCGGCTCAAAGATCCAGCAAAGTTCCTGAACCAAAGGTGAGTTTTTTGGCGAAATTTTCAAGCAAGCGTTCGGAGCTTCGTGGATTCCTGAACTAGATGGAGCTGATCTTCACACTTTAATATCGGTGGTACCCCACTCCCGAGTCTCAAATTAGCGTGATTGGGATGTTGCTTGAAGGTACAGCTTTGTTATGGTTTTCTCCTCTTCTGAAGAAGAGCACAAAAGGCGTGGTTCCGGAGCTAATGGATCTTCAATTATTCAAAGAGAAGTTCGAAGCATGTTTTGGTGAGACGGATCGGGTTCGGGCTACTACCACAAAGATGAGACGTCTCTCTCAGGGGTCTCGTCCTACCTTGATCTATGTTGCAGAGTTCCAACTCCTTGCCTTGGACACTCAGCGGGATGAGCGGGCCTTGATTGACCAATTTCATTTCGGCCTCAACAACAGTGTCAAGGATTTGTTGCTCACTATGGAGGATCCCAAGGACCTGTCGAACGCCATCAACAAAGCTGTTCGATGTAACAATCGTCTCTTTGAACGTCGTCAGGAAAGTTGCCGCACTGCTGTTTTTCCGTCCCAGACTTAGGAATCTCAGCTTGAGTCTTCGGGGCATACTCCTGAACCTACTGCTCCGGTCCCGATGGATATTTCTGGTACTCCTCGACTCATTAGAGGGAAGTTGAGTCCTACTGAGAAGCAACGTCAAATATCTCATAATCTTTGCCTCTACTGTGTTGATCCTAACCACAAAGCAGCTGTGTGTCCCAAGAAGCCTCCCCAACTGCTCGAGTTCACTCTGCCTCAAAGTTCACCTCTGTTGCAGTCGGGAAACAACCCTGTCCAAACAGAGTAGGAGCTGTCTATTTGGACTCCCCAAATAAAAATCACTTTTCTTCTTTATTAAGCTCCTCACCACCTTTCATCAAAGCCACCACCAATTCCCACAACTTCCGTGTCCCATGTCCCCTTTCTTTCACCGGACAATCAAGACTCAAGGCTCTGGCGCTATTGGACTCGAGTGCAACTTCCTACTTCATGGACACGGACTTTGTTGCCTGACATCACATTCCTCTTTCTCCTACCATATGGGATTTGAGGGTTGAAGGCATCGGTGGGCATTTTGTGTCTCCATCTTCTAGACTTAGGGAAATGTTGCCTGTTTAAGTACACATCGGGTCCACCATCACTGATATTGCCTTCAACATCATCAACAACAAGTCCTCCTCTGTGGTGCTCGGTCTTCCTTGGTTCCAACTACATCAGCCTCAGATCTGTTGGAAGGAATTACAGCTCATCTCTCCCACATCACCATCTCCCACGGCTTCCCCTGTTGTTCATCGAGTCCAAATCAGGAAAATTTCCCTAAACTCAAATCGGGGTTCTATTCTTGACTCTACAAAGTTTTCACCTTTTTCTTTTTCCTCTCTTCCATCTTACACTGGACAGTATCCTTGTCTCATCATTCCATTTAGTCGTATGCCTCCTTCTATCTTTACAATCACTATGAAAGAACTCCTTCATGAAGAATTTATTTTCCTTTTTACTTTGCATGTTTCTCCTGTCTGTCTTCCTGAAAAGTATCATGATTTTGGGGATGTGTTTGACAAAAAAAAAAAGTTAATGTACTGCTTGTTCAATGGCCTTATGACTGTCCCATTGATTTACAAGAAGGAGCGTCACCTCTGTGGGGGCCTATTTACGGGTTATCCCCATCCGAGCTTAAGGACCTCAAAAAGTACGTGGATGAGAACTTTGCCCCGGGGTATATTCAACATTTGCAGTCCCCAGCTGGAGTGCCTATCTTCTTTGTCAAGAAGAAGGATGGGAGTTTGTGGCTAGCCATCAACTACTGAGGTTTGAACAAAGTGACTGTTCGGAACCGTTATCCGCTACCCCTGATCTCAGACCTGTTGGAACGCCTCGGCGGTGCCCGTTTCTTCACCAAGATCAACTTCCGTGGAGCATACAACCTGATCCGGATCTGGCCTGGTGATGAATGGAAGACTGCATTCCGAACCCACTATGGCCACTTCGAGTACACTATCATGCCATTTGGCTTGACAAATGCTCCAGCAGTTTTCCAACACATGGTGAACAACGTCTTTCGGGAGTTTCTTGATCAAATGGTGATTGTCTACCTCGATGACATCCTCATCTACTCAAAAACTCAGGAGGAGCACGATGAACATGTATGCAAGGTGCTAGCGAAGCTGCGAGAACACGGCCTATACTTGAAGCTTGAGAAATGTTCCTTCAATCAGCAGTCTGTGGAGTTCTTTGGGTATATTGTCACTCCTGAGGGTATCACGATGGATCCTGCCAAAGTCAAGACTATTCTCGAATGGGAGCCTCCACAATCAATGTCGGACGTTCAGGTTTTCCTTGGCTTCGCCAACTTCTACCGCAAATTCATTGATCACTACTCTGACATTGTCCTTCCTCTCACGCTTCTCACTTGCAAGGATGTTCCCTTCTCTTGGTTTGCTGCTGCCCAGCAGGCCTTCGACACACTTAAGGCAGCCTTCAGTTCTGCTCCCATCTTGATCCATGCTGATTCCTCAAAACCTTTCTTCATCGAGGCTGACGCCTCCGACTTTGCCATCGGTGCTATGTTGTCTCAACTCAGAGCAGATCAAGAACTTCATCCGGTTGCTTTCTATTCTCGGAAATTCCAACCTGCGGAGATCAATTACAAAATCCACGACAAGGAGCTCCTTGCCATCATGGATTCCTTTGGAGAGTGGCGCCGTTTCTTGGAGGGGGTGGGCCATCAAACAACAATCTGGACGGATCACAAAAATCTCGAGTACTTTGCCACTTCCTGAGTTTTGAGCCGTCGTCAAGCAAGATGGGCACAATTTCTAAGTTGGTTTGACTTTGTTATCAAGTATAGACTTGGAAAGCTTCAAGGCCTTCCTGATGCTCTTTCAAGGCGCTTCTATCTCAGTCTCAGGCCTGGTAATCCTGCCTTCGATCAATAGGATCAAGTTATCCTTGGTCCTGATCGGCTTCAAGTTATGGCAATTTCCTTGGCCCCTCAGGACTCCTCCTTGATGGATGCGATCGGAAACGATCTTCAATCCGATGATCTCGCCAGCAACATTTTCCCCCATCTTCAGGCTGGACACCTAGTGACTCCCGACTGCCAGCGATTTAACGAGTTCGAGTTCTTACATGGCTTATTGTACCATGGGGAGCAACTTTACGTTCATGAAAGTGATGCTCGAAGGTTGGTTCTGATGGCGTGCCACGATAGCCCAACTACTAGTCACTTCGGCATTGTGAAAACCCATGAGCTAGTTGCACGGGACTTTTGGTGGCCTCACATGGACGACTACATCAAAGCTTTTGTTACCTCCTGTGACACTTACGCCCGGAATAAGTTACCTCACCACCTTCCTTCATGTTTGCTTCGTTCCCTCCCAGTCCCTTCAGGTCCTTAGGAATCCATCTCCATGGATTTTTTGAGTGATCTTCCGAGTTTTGGAGGCTTCAGCAGCATTTTAGTTGTGGTGGATCGCTTCACAAAGATGGCACACTTCTTGCCATGTACCAAGGAGTTTTTGGGCGAGGACATGGCAAAACTGGTATTCAGGGAAATTTTCCGACTTCATGGGATTCCTACAGATGTGGTTTCGGATCGGGGGCCTTAGTTCATCTCTCATTTCTGGCAATGGTTTTTGCAACTGCTTGGAGTGAAGGCCAACCTCTCTTCGGCGTATCATCCTCAAACTGATGGATAGTTCGAGCGAACAATTCAGACATTGGAACAATTCTTGAGGTGCTTCATCAACTATCATCAAGATAACTAGTTCGATATCCTTCCCCTTGCTGAGTTCTTTTATAACAACTCTATTCACTCCTCTTTTCGAATTTCCCCCTTCTTTGCGAACTCTGGCCGAAATCCCCAATTCAATCTCTCACTTCCTTCTCCATCCGAATCCTCTCGTTCAAATCCCCACTTTGAGGCATTTGTCTCCAACCTCCAGGAAATCCACAACTCCATCTCCTTCCACCTCCATCGTGCTCAGGAATCTCACAAAACATTTGTCAATGTCCATTATCAGAATTGTCCCCCTTACAATATCGGGGATAAAGTCTGGCTCCTCAGGTGAAATATCTCCACCACCAGGCCCTGTCCAAAACTCGATTTCAAACGCCTTAGTCCTTTCCCTATCACTGCCATCATTAATCCTATCACTTATTACCTTGCACTTCCCTCCTCATATCAAATTCACTCCTCTCAACTTGAAGGATGAGAACACCCCCTATACTGTGAACCAGAAAAAAATCTCTTTCTTTGTTCACAACCACCATGCTTGTCCCATTGTCCTATGAGCACCACCATATACTCTAGACCATCATATCCATGAGTTGCAAGGCCATGCGAAGGATATTTCTTTGCTCATCACCTAGTGAATAACAACGGCAGTAATTTCTGTATCTCTTGTAGAATTTCTGCTATGTTAAAATATAACTTACTTTATAAACTAATACAGAAAAGCTGATATAGATGGACTTCTTTGGCAAATAGCCCTAAATAGCCTTTAAGGCTGATCCTTTACAAACGAATTGGTTAGACTTTTGAAAGCAAATTGAAACTTTAGCTTTATAACCATCTTGTGTTATTTAAGGTGTGAAGAGCTATAAGTCATTTTTAGACTGTGCTTTCAATGTGAGAGTCTAACACTTTTTTTTTAATTATTGAATTTTTTTTTAGGATTCAAACGTACTAGATTACCTAACAAAATACTCAAAGCTCTCAAAGCATAGGCAAACTTATTATTGAGCATTTAGCTGACAGCTATTTGATACAAAATTAAAATAAGAGCATAATTATTTCATTGGTTATATGACTGACTTAGTTGTAGATTGAATTTTCTTTACTTTAAAGAAAAAGGACTTTTAGGATTGTGGTAGTAATGAAAGTATACTTCTCTGAACAACTAATTTTGAGGATTGTATTTATTAGTTATGATAAAAATGAGAGACTAATAAGGACAAAAAAGCTTTTAGTTTCCTTACACATACACCACTTTAACTATTGAATTAACTTTTGATCATGTTTAGTATATACAGTACAGTTTTAGTATATAGTTCGCCCATATATATATATATATATATATATATATATATATATATATATATATATATATATATATATATATATATATATATATATATATATAGTACTGTTTAGTAAACAATATTTAGTATTTTAATTAAAAAGGAAGAAAAATAAACTCTAACTTAATAATGTCTATATTTGATGGTCACATAACTCAATTTTATTTTTCATTTGAATACCTTAAAAAGCCCATATAAATTAATTTCATCATAGTTTTATTTTAGAACTGGATATATATAGTAATCTGAAAATTACAATAAATCACATATTTTCAAGGACATTAGTGTATATGTAAAATTCATAACTGTAATGAATTATTAAATTTATTTATTTAATAAATTTAAAATATTTAATTAAAATTTTAAGGTATTATTATTATATATTTTACAAAAATAGAAAAATAACCTCAAGGATATGATACAAGTATAATATATATAATCTATATAAACTGGAAAGTTAAATGAGCTCTTTAAAATATCACTAGTAGGAACTTAATAAATAAAAAATATTTTGTGTAAAATAACTTTTATAATTTTTAATAAATAAGTAAAAATTGCTTATGCAACCAGTTTAAACAGCTAAAAACCTTTAAAACAATGATGATAATCATAAAGTGGTTAGTACACTAAGTTAAAGTATTGCAATTAATTAAAACACTAGGTTAGAGCATCATAATATGTTGAGATATACTAGAGGCAGTAAATTGTAGTAAATTTAAATAAAGATACTTCCCACTTTTGATTTCTTATAAAGTTAAGGTTTTAAAAGAAAATTAAAAAACATTATATGAAGTTTACATAAAAATTAGCATATGTATTAATACTAAAAATCACTTATATTTAAGAAAAATAATAAAATGGTTAGATTGATATTTTAGAAAAAATATTTAATTTTTTTTATTTTATATGGATGGTAGGATAAACCTAGAATATGGTTGGATATTCTGGGATATTTTACCATCTAACAGTTAATATTTATTTAAATTAATCTTTTACTTATAAACATATTTATAATTTATAAACACCTCCTAGTATATTCTACTTTATTCTACCATTGAAAGTAGAATTAAATTTATGTAAGTAACTATCTTAATTAATAGTGTTTAAAGTTATAAATAAGGTAATTATTGATTATATTATCATTAAAAATTAATAAATAAACAAGCGTATGTAAATCTACTTGTACCTGAATAGCTTAAGGTACACAAGCTTTCATTCATTTTTGGTTTGAAAGTTCTAGAGTTTTTGTAACTTTCCTACAGCAAGCTATAATACAAGCTCCAAATAAGAAACTTTTACTTGAGGATTCTTTACATCCGGATCTGGTCTGCATCATGGAAAGCCATCAATTTACTCTGGAACTTCCCTCACACTGGTGCTGCTCAAATCCAGGTATCCACGTTGGAGCCATCAAGTCGGCTCTTGGTACCAAAGACTATTCAACACTAGCTGGCGAGTTATGGATATTGGCCAGCTTAAGTAAGCTTACTTCCATGTTAAAATCTCAATGTTTCATCTAACACAAACCTCTAGGTGTTTGGCCCGAATCCAAGAGCATAACGAGCGGACAAGGAAGAATCAAGTAGCAAATTAGTGACAGCTCCATCATAGTGAAAAGCCATTGAAGCAAAGGATTCTTTGCCCAAGGTGGGGATGAAGAGGACTAACTTAGTATATAAGATCAGGCGGTGGCATAGAGTTCTCGTCTCTCTCATTGAGTTACAGATCAACCCCAAGCACAAGCCATCGAACAGTGCTGGGATCTTATGTTTTGTTGCTACAATTTGACAGGAAATTCTCAAGCATGGTGTTGTACCGTGGACTAGAAATGCTCAGAGCAAACCCCAGTGCAGTGAATTTGATCAACTGAAAGCTCTTTTATTCAACACCTCAATAAAATCCACTTTGAGACCAGGTGGAGTTAAACGAATGTTTTGTAGAAAGTTTGGGTACTGCATTATTATGCCGAAAGAGGGCATCTTGGAAATGAAAGGGATTGAAGCTTGACGCATTGTTTTGCCGCCAAATCTTGTGACCTGGAACATTCTTATCATGTCGTCTGCCACTTGAACTCAGTGCCAAGAATAAAAACACTTCTGACCGAGTGCTTCTCACTCTTCCATGTCAGTGTTCCAGTTTGTGGGAACTTGGATGAATCAACTGTGAATTGGATCTGGAAACTTAGAACCTGCAACACGGATTTAAACCTGAGCTGTGGAGGAAACACCGCGACAGTCACTCCCGCCGGAGCTTCTACTGAAATGTTGTAGACCGACTTGCCAGCTCCAACGTTGGTAACTTTCCTGTTCACCACCGCTTTGGTGGAATTTGGCCCGCCAAACTGAGTGATGGGAACCGCGATGGATGGATAGTTCAACTCCAAGTAGGAGTCCAGGGGTACACAAGATAAGTTCTTTCCAGTCATGAGCTCCAGCTGATCCCTTGTGTAGTTCCTCGTGCATAGAAACATCGTGTATTCATCCGGAGATATGTCGTAGACCAGGCCAGGACTAAGCGCTGCGACTGGATCAATCTGTCCGGCTCCCATCACAAATGGTGAAGCTTCTTCCCCATTGTGGTCTTTGATTGGGCTCTTTGTGTTGTCCAGGAAGCGTGCTACAAACACCAAACAAACGATCAGAGGGAAAACTATTTTTCTTTTGTTCTCTTTGGTACCTGTTGTCATGAGAGCCGACTTGATGGCTGCTGGACTCCAACTCGGGTGCCTGGATTTGACAAAGGCTGCGGCAGCACTGGCGTGAGAACATGCCATGGAAGTTCCAGAGATTATGTTGAAGTCGGTGTACATTGGCTTGCCATAACTGTTGATGGGCTGCTCAGGACTCCATGCAGCCAGTATGTCCACACCAGGAGCAACGAGATCGGGCTGTAAAGATAAGACTCCCAGTTTATATTAGTAAAACTCTCCTCCAGATACCTTAAGAATGCCATCGTTGGTAATATCAGGTCCCCTCGAAGAGAAATCCGCAATGATTGGGGCTGGAGTGGTTTGTATGATCGTATGTGCTGGAGAGATGGTCGCTGTAGTATTCCTTGAGAAAAGTTTAAAAACCGTCAAGAAGTCTCAAACCAAAAATGCATGAAAGCTTGTGTACCTCGAGTTCTTCAGGTAGGCATTAATCTCGTCCAAGGCGCTCCCAGTGACAGCAGCTCCAGCAAGATCAAGGAAGGACACTGCCTCTGTGGTATTTTCAATCGCGAAAATTACTCCAGAGGCACCAAGTTCTTTAAGATGTCGCTGGATGGCCGAGGATGATGCAACGCCCGGACTGTAATTGCACACGACAATCTTTCCCTTGACCTTCTTCCCATCCAAAGACCGTCCTGCACATAGGCTTAATGCCAAGTATGTTTTAGTGATAAGCTTTCATTCAGCTGAAACAGTATCACCTGGCCTGTCCTATTCGATCAGATCTAGAAGAAGCATCACCACCCAAAATAAGCGTTGATATATCAGCCCGCTTGGGATTCATTGCTATTCCCTGTTATATATACATGACAAAGGAAAAATTCACAAAAAACAATCAAGTACCTGAACGGTTTTAGAGTTTCCAAGTTTGATGTCGACCGAGAACTTCCTGTCGATAGTGCTTGCTCCCACTGTCAAAATCCATGGAGCCGAGTTCTCGATGGTTTGGAAGCCTGGACCTCCATTTCCAGCAGAACATGATACAAAAATTCCCTTCTGCATTGCATGTAAAGCACCAATGGATAAAGCACCAATGGGTATGGAATCCCCGTCATATCCGGTGGTATCTTCACCCAGCGATAACGAGAGAATATCTACACCGTCGTGAATTGCGTCGTCGAATGCTGCGAGAATGTTGTCACCCTCACATTCTGGCGTGCAAACCCTGTAGATCGCAAGCCTTGCGGATGGATGGCCCCCTCGAGCAACTCCTTTTCCAAGAGTTGTTAAAAAAGTGGCGTCTTTTACCAGGCTTCCAGCGATGGTGGAGGCCGTGTGAGTTCCATGCCCCTGTTCGTCCCGAGCGTTTTGATAACGGCTCCGCACGTCCGAGTGTCCATAAGATCGAGCTCCTACAATTTTCCTGAAACAAATCACAATGCTTGAGAGATGAACCCAAGAGTGATCTTACTTGTTGCAGTGGATCGTGTGTGAATGATTGGTGATTTTGGAATTGTCACATACTCCTTTCCATCTCTTTGGCACCGGTCCCATCCCAGCGTCGTCGAAGCTCTTGGACTCCGGCCAAACACCTGGAAGTGGATAATTAACTCGGACGTAAGCTTTTTCCATGATTACCAGTATCCAGGACTCCCACAATGACATCCGATCCGGAGCTAGAGTTGAGTTGAATGTGCGGACCACCAGAAAAGCTGTCGAGAAAATCCCAGGAGCGTGTTGTGTGGAGACTGAGTTTTCTGGAACGGAAAACCTTAACCACGCCAGGAAGCTCTGATAAACCAACACATCAAAACTCGTGACGAAAGCTTCAAAGAGCGGCATACTTGCAATGGAGTCGGCTTCGGCTTCAGTCAAGAAGGCGGAGAAGCCATTGAAACCGTGCTTGTAGCTGTGAACCAGCGACGATTCCTTGCTAAACATCAAAAACAGTGAGGAGAAAAGAAAAATTGTTGCAAGAGGATTGTTTCGTACCTCCCCTTGACAGAGGCAAGAATTTGGTGATGAGACGATGTCACAGCCTCCGGTTTAGAGCTCCTAGTGTGCCCCAAGTAGACAATATATTTGCTAACAGGCTGCCAAAAACACCCAACTTCTTAGAAATCTATCAAGCCGGAAAAAGGGAAAGATCACCTCGTTGGTTGCGGCAGCAGCAAGAACAGCAAGAGCAGCAAGAGAGAAAAAGACTCGCTCCATCCCAAGCATCGCTCCAGGGAAATCGTCTCCCCATGCGGCTCCATTTTAAAGGCTAAAGCGCGGGTGGAAGCTCCAACCACGGGCAAAGGCCACTCCGCCATAAGTCTCGTCCATTTCTATCGGATCACGCATCATATCACCAAAATCCAAAGAAAGAACCTCACACGCATCATTCCCGCCAAATAACTTAAACCACTAAACCCGAGCTAGGGCTTTGTTTTACCGCATTAAAACAAAGACTAGAGTTCCAAAGAGTGTTAAATCACTCGCTCTCGCTCTCGTGTCTAGCTAGCTTCTATGACGCCTTTGCTGTGAAGGGGCCGCAACGCTAGCCTTCTTATAATGCAAAGTTTTTTGATGAGCAGCTTGATTAGGATGTACCCACTGTCCATAAGAAGAATTAGCAGCTGCGGTTCCACCACCGCCACCACCACCACCACCACCGCCACTACCAGCGGCACTACTAGCAGAAGGCGGTGGCGGAGGCCCTGGCGGTAGAGGTGGCCGCAAGACTGGAAATCCTCCGCCTGGATTCGACGAGCTATCCTGCTGCTGCTGGTGATGACTCCCAAGAACTTGGAGAGCTTGTTGCTGCTGCTGGAGATTTCCTCCACCTGCTGTTGGTCTTGGCCACTGCATCCCCAGCCCCTCGGACGTCGTCGTGTAAGCCTCGGCCGGCGGCTGGTGAAATCCCCCCTGAGAGCTCTGATAAAGATGGTGGTGACGAAACGAGGATTCCCCGCCGCCTTGGAGCTGATGGAACGCCTCCAAACCTCCGCCACCACCACCACCACCACCACCACCTGGCATTGGAATGTATCCCTCGTACTCAAACTCTGGAAGATCGTTGCCATCTTTGCACTGCTGTTCCTGCTGCTGCTGCTGCTGCTGCTGCTGCCAGAAACCCGGTGGCCCCCCATCGTAACCCGGTAACGTCGAACCTGGTAGCACCGCGGTGAGAGCCTGGAGGAGACTGGGATGGAAGCCCGGCGGGAGAAGACCCTCTAGAAACGGAGGAGGAGGAAGGGCCGACTCGGCGATGGTAGCAGCGGGAGTTGGGCTACAAAGGCTCGATTGCTGGTGCCATTCATTTACAGAATGCTGCTTTACAACACTTTGCGATTGAGATGGAGAGACGCTCTTCACCCGGGATGGACTGGGATGCTTAGCAGAGGCGAGAGAGGGCGGAGGAGGGGCAGCGATGGTGGCGGTGGCGGTGGAGGGAGCGGCGGTGGAAGAACTGGACTTGCCTCGGGAGTGCTTACTGCTGGGAGCTCTGGACGAGCCTCTCTTACTCTTTTCGGCGGACGACGGCTTTCTACTCTCCGAGGAGCTCTTGTCGGAGGGATTCTTCCGCCAGACGACGCAGCCCACTAGCACCTCGCTCTTGTCCTTGGGGAGATCGGCGCTGGGTTTTAACCGACCGTTTTCAGTTAAGAATTTCCAGGTTGCCTTTCCAGGGGGGAAGAGATAAAGCTCGTAGCCCGTCCCAGGCTCCACATAGCCCACACGCTCTCCTTTCTCATATTGATCGGCAACCTGTGACAAAACAAAGAGAGCTCCTAAGTGAAGTTCCTTACACACGCAAAAGACATGGGAGCTTCTTCGTACCTCTTTGAGAAGTGAAAGCGAAGACGTAGCCATGTCACTCGAGTAAAAAGACATCACCTACGTAACAAAACGCACGCAGGAACAAACATTAAAAAGCTTGACCAACCAACGTAAGGATCTTGCTTTGCAAACATACCGTGACCGCTCTGGATTTCGAGTTACACAGATCCTTGAGAAACTTAGCAAGAGGTCCCAGCTTCACTCTTCCTTTCACTTCAAGCTGCTTCGGCCACGCGTCTAACTTCACGTCGTGACGTCCACTGCCAAATCCGAAGGAAACAACACCGTCAATAACCTTGTTGGTGATTGAGATCAAACAAGTCCTAAAAAAGAAAAAAGAACTTCCAGATTCCTCCACGAAGCGTTAGCGACACGAATGCAGAAAAGAAAAGAGAAAACAAACCCGAGTCTCGAGTCTAACCTTCTAAACATCCCGTGCACCGCTGTCGAGCGAGTCCCAGTGAGTTGCAAGCTCCCCTCCCAAAGCTGTAAGTTAAGTGGCTTCTCTTCCCCGTTTATCGGCGATTGCTTTCTCGATGGCGAGCTGCTTTTGTCATTTTGCTTGCGCTCGTTGTCACCTAGCTTCCTTTTCAAACTATTCCCTGCTGTCGTCGTAGCACTGCCACTAGCCTTTTCGTCCGCCTTGGAACCATCTATCGCTTCCGTAACTTCTTCCCCCTCTTTCTTTACGTCCACGGCCTTTGTGTCTCCTCCAGTAGTACACCCCAAGGACTTCAAAAACCCATCCATAGACATAATTTCGGGCAACCCCTTGAAATCAGACACATCGAGTAGTGGAGGATCACTGCTAGCTTCAAAACTCTCGCCGCCAGCGGCACCACCCTCGTCTGGAATCGTGTCGCCAGTGTCGCTGAGGAGCGGCGGCGCTTCCACCGCTTCTCTCGCCGCTGACACCATCGTAGCATCAGTCGTAGCATCATCAGCCTCCTTAGCGTCGACCATCTCCGCATCTCTTTCCTTTCCATCTACAACTTTCTCGTCTGCCGTTTCTTCTTTCTCCTGAGTTCCCTCTTCTTCTTCTCCCTCTTTCTCTTCTTCATCTTCAGACCTCTCTTGAGCAGCATCTTCACTGGCGCTAGCACTCACGTCCCCACCCTCGACTTCCTTCACCGGAGCAACCGGAGCGTCACTGTCCACCTCCATGATAATCTCCCCCTTGTGGGTCTTCTTCACGATCTTGCTGGGATTCACATCCTCGTCGGTGATCACCACCTTCTGCGCGCGCTCCTCCGCCTTGGCCATCCTCCACTGCGACAGCTCCTTGGACGCGAGCTGCTCGATGGTCATGGAGCAAAGCTGCTCGGGGCTCACCTCACCGACGAACACACGGGCCCTCAGATCTGGGTTGTTCTTGTCCTTGAGATTGAAAACCAGCGACCTCGCCTTCTCCTTGTACTTCCTGTTCACGGCTTTGAAGACCCGCAGCAACTCGATCTCTATGTTCTTGGAAACCAGCCTCGCGTGCTCCGTCACCCTTTCCTCCCACCGAAAGCCCAGCTCGTCACTATCCATCCTCATCCTCTTGCTAGGAGAAGACGACCCCTTGCCACCGAAAACTTGGAGCTTGGAGCGCTTGGCATGCGGGACTAGCGACTCCTCCACCACCATTGGAGGTGCCTCGAAGTCGTGGTTGGAATCCACAACGCCACCACCATTGAGAAACGCCAGGATCTTTTCTTTCGGGTGCTCACCAGCGACCATCTTGAGAGCCTCCGTCAAAGAGTCCCGGAGCTTGCTTCTAATGGCATCGGGTCCCTGTGGAGCGGCGATTTGGGGGTTCTTCTCTGCTACAGTGGAAGAGGGCTTTCTCTCCTGGACGTAAACGGGGACCGTCATCACCGGGCTGGAGAATGGATCCATCATGATGCCGTAAGATTCCCACGGCATCGTCGGCTGCGGCATGCCATAGCCGGGGAACTGCTGAAAATCCTCCATCTACGCGAGAAGAAAACAATCAGACTAATTCTCCAGCCAATGGAGAGAAGGGCTTACCCTCAGAAAAGGCTGATTCTCGTCGCTCGGCATTGCGTCCTGGAAAGAGAACACGCTCGCTCGTAAACCCTACCAAGAACGAATCGATGATTCCATAGCGCACTTACCATTGCGAAGATCTTTGCGGCAGTCAGCCCGCCGCCTCCATTGATTCGCGACGATTCGCGCCCGCAACGTAGCCCCGCGAAGAAAAAGACGAGGCGGCTATGGCGACGAATCGAGATCACTTAGCCCTAACCGTACCCCCGGCAGTGCCGTACCAGATATTTGCCGACTAAACAGAATATTCTATTGCAGAACATAATATTCGAATACCAGACGGAATATCCATGCGAATCGTCGCGACCCTTGGGAGATATTGCGCGACATCTAATAAAATCCGCGAGCGATCGATCGATCCGCCATGGCGAAGCGACGGTCGTCCAAGAGATCCGGGGGGAAGCGGGCGCCGGGGCCATACATGCTCTTCTGCAAGGCGAACAGGAAGAAGATCGTCAAGCAGCATCCATCGGCGAGCTTTGGGCAGATTGGGAAGCTGCTGGGATCGGCGTGGCACAGCCTCTCGCCCAAGGAGAAGAAGGTACCGTAGAAGATGTGATCACTAATCGAATGGATCCATCCAAGGTCGTCGTCGTCTCGCAAGAGCAGCAACGCAAAATTTCCAGCGAATCGATCATCCAGTGTTGGGGCAATGCAGGCCTACGAGAAGAAAGCTAGGCGTGGGCGGAAGAAAGGCCGCAAATCCAAGCGCTAGAGCTAAGATCATCGATGGGTATCAAATGCCGGATCGATGATACCTAGTTCTCTCAAGATCAATTGCCAGATTTCACACTACACACTGAGATCTTCTTGAATCCAACCTCTTTTCGAATATTCGTCTTTTAGTTTATTCTCTTGGAATATTTTGGTGTCCCTGGAATAATACTAAGTTCTAGGTAGAGCTTGGCTCTTGACAACGCCGCAAGGTCACTGCTAGGATATAGCGGTAATGTGTCGCTCTACGGCCCTTAGCCTCCGATTGGGGCGGCGGCTAGGCTTACAAATTCCAGTGTCAGCGCTCCAGATTCTCCACGGCCATGGCAGCGGCGGCTTCGTCCCTCCTCTTCGACTGCAAGCTCGCGTGTGGATCGCCGCGGCAGCACCAGCGGCGCCATGGATCTAGGGTGAGGCGCGGTGTGGTGTGCTGCAACAAGGATGGATTTTCGCCGGCTCCGTCGAGAATCGTGCCCAGGGCGGTGGCGGAGGACGCCGTCGATGAGATTACGGCGGCGCCGGCGCTGGATGCTGGTAGATTGGTGCCCAGGGTGGAGCAAATCGATAACTACTGGGTGCTCAAGCCCGAGTTTCGCAAGGGGATCAATCCGGCCGAGAAGGTAGGGGAGGGATTTTGATTTCCTTTCAGTGTGTTAATTTCGCCATGGACAGATCAAGATCGAGAAGGAGCCGATGAAATTGTTCATGGAGAATGGGATCGAGGAGCTCGCAAAGAAGCCCTTTGACGAAATCGATGCAGACAAAGAGTCCAAAGAAGATGTGGACGCTCGCCTCAAATGGCTCGGTCTCTTCCATCGCCGCAAACACCAATGTAAGCTTTCATCGCCCTTCTCATTCTCATTGTGATCGTTCCTTTCCTCGCAGACGGGACTTTCATGATGCGGCTCAAGCTCCCCAATGGATCGTCCACTTCGTCCCAAGTCCGCTACCTCGCCAGCGTCATTGAGAAGTATGGAGAGAAAGGCTGCGCGGACGTGACGACGAGGCAAAACTGGCAGATCCGCGGGGTCGTTCTCAGCGATGTTCCACAGATCCTCGAGGGGCTGGAGGAGGTGGGACTGTCGAGCCTCCAGAGCGGGATGGACAACGTGAGAAATCCCGTTGGGAACCCTCTGGCGGGGATTGATCCTCACGAGATTGTCGACACCCGGCCATACACCAAAACGCTCTCGGATTTCATCATCTCAAACGGTCGCGGCAATCCCAGCATCACAAACTTGTGAGTTTTTCTTCCTTGGGTCTTGGCTCTTACCTTGAATTCCTGGTGTTTGGACTGGATTCTTGGTCGTAGGCTTGAATTCCTAGCTTGGGATTGAATGACTCGCTAGTCTTCTCGAATTTCTTGCTTCAAGCGTGCTGAGGGGTCCGTTTGAATTTACGAGCGTCCGTTGACTAGTCTTGACCGGTTTTGACCAGGCCCCGGAAGTGGAACGTTTGCGTGGTGGGCAGCCACGATCTCTACGAGCACCCTCACATCAACGACCTGGCATACATTCCCGCGATCAAGGACGGGCGATTCGGATTCAATATCCTGGTGGGCGGATTCTTCAGCCCCAAGCGCTGCGCTGAGGCGCTTCCACTCGATGCCTGGGTGCCCGGAGACGAGGTGATCCCGGTTTGCCAGTCGATCCTGGAGACGTTCCGTGACCTCGGGTTCCGAGGGAATCGTCAGAAGTGCCGGATGATGTGGCTCATCGACGAACTGGTAAGCCAGTTCACTCTTTCAGAGCAGTCGACTAATCTCTTTTTGAGTTTGCTCTCCAGGGAATCGAGGGCTTTCGATCGGAGGTAGAGAAGCGAATGCGAGAGCCTCTGGCCCGCGCGGCCGAGACCGATCTCCTGAATCCGTCATGGCAGCGACGAGACTTGTTTGGCGTCCATCGCCAGAAGCAAGACGGGTTGAACTTCGTGGGGCTCCACGTACCAGTCGGGCGAGTCCAGGCCGCGGAGATGATCGAGCTCGCGCGGCTGGCGGACGAGTATGGCAGCGGTGAGATCCGGCTCACGGTTGAGCAAAACATCATCATCCCAAACGTTCCCTCGAGCAAAGTGGATTCTTTCCTCCGCGAGCCGCTACTGGCTCGATTCTCCCCAACGCCGGGAATCCTCCAGGCCAATCTCGTGGCGTGTACGGGCAGCCAGTTTTGTGGCCAGGCCATCATCGAGACAAAGGCCAGGGCCCAAAAGCTGACGGAGGAGCTGGAGAGGACCATGGAGGTGCCGCGGCCCGTACGGATGCACTGGACGGGGTGCCCTAATTCGTGTGGGCAAATCCAGGTGGCGGACATTGGCTTCATGGGGTGTATGACCCGAGATGCCAACAAAAAGGTGGTGGAGGGCGTCCATATCTACGTCGGAGGTAGGGTTGGGGCGGATTCTCATTTGGGCGATCTCGTGGTGGCGGATGTGCCGTGTGATGGCTTGTTGCCCGTGGTCCAAGACCTCTTGATCGAGCGCTTTGGCGCGAGAAAGAAGTAGAAAGTTTTGATATTTTAAAATTTCAAAGGCGCGAATAGAATCTAAATTTTAAAAAACAAAAGTTAGAATTAGAGTGACGCTACTCCAAAAATGAGGGTTGAGGATTCGTTGGTCGTGAACTTGTCGTTTCTCTTGCTCTGGAAGATCTGGCTATAAAATGCGAGGAACTCCTTGATGTTTCCACAAGTTCTCCTCTTCTCTTCTTTTTCTCCTCTCATCCTCTTCTCCTTGGAGCAATGGCTTCTGGTGTTGCCAGCATCATCCTCCTTGTTGTGCTCTCTAGCTTGGTGGCCTCCTCTGCTGCGAGATTCTCCAAAATCCAGGACGTCTGCCAGCCATTCGGTGAGCTCCATGCCCCCGGCGGGCATTCGTGCGACGAGTGCTGTAAAGAGGGCGAGAGCTATCCCCAGTACGAATGCTCGCCGCAAGTGACTGGCGCGACCAAGGCGATCCTCACCGTGAATGACTTTGAGGAGGGCGGCGATGGTGGAGGTCCATCGGAATGTGACAACCAGTATCATGACAATTCGGAGCCTGTTGTGGCGCTCTCCACGGGCTGGTATGCAAAGGGCAGTCGGTGTGGGAAATTTGTGAGAATCTCCGCGAATGGGCGAACGGTGAGTGCAAAGGTGGTGGACGAGTGTGATTCCGTCAATGGCTGTGACAAGGAGCACGCGTTCGAGCCACCTTGCCTTAATAACATTGTGGATGCATCGCCCGTGGTGTGGAAGAAGCTGGGGGTCTCCCAGGACGATGATGACTATGGATACATGAAGATTACGTGGGCTATGGATGATGAGTGACAAAGAATTGCATATCGCCTCTATTGTATGTAAATGCGTGCTTTCTCATCTTTGCTTCGGCAGGTAACATTTACGAGATTTATACCACCTTTGTCTTGATCTTCAAAACTTTCCTGGTCTTGGTCTTCCAAGTGGACTTGATCATCCAGAGCTCACCATTACCTTCACTGGCTCTCAAAAAACTCTCATCCCGTCTCCACCAGGCCAGTGTGGCTGCAAGCCACGATAAATTCCTTGAGCAAAGTGGATTCTCTCTTGCTGCTAGCTCGATTCTCCCCAGCTCCAGGAATCCTCCAGACCAATCTGTGTACGGGCAGCCAGTTTTGTGGCCAGACCATCGTCCAGGCCCAAACGCTGACCCCAGGTGCGATCCGGGTGGCGGACATTGAGAAGATGACTGGAGGGCGTCCATATCTTGTTGGATGTAGTGGATTCATTGGCGCGAAAAGGTTAGAGCGGAGAGATCAAGTGGCGACGCAGTTAAAAGCGAAACGACAACGCAGTTAAAAGCGAAACGACAATCTCAGACCAACGAATCCTCAATCCTCACGACGAACGAATCCTCTTGGTTGGCGTCTAGCTATATAACGCAAGGAATTAGGAACTCCATGATGTTTCCTCAGCTTCTCCTCTTGCTCTTCTCGTCCCCTTCCTTTGAGCAAACTGGAAATGGCTTCTAGTGCTGGCATCATACTTGTCCTTGTTGTGCTCTCTACCTTGGTGGCCTCCTCTGCTGTGAGATTGTTCGAAATCCAGGACGTCTGCAATCCATCCGGTGAGCTCCACTCCCCCGGCAGGCTATCATGCGATGAGTGCTGTAAAGAGGGCGAGAGCTATCCCCAGTACGAATGCTCCCCGCAAGTGACTGGCGAGACCATAGCGATCCTCACCGTGAATGACTTTGAGGAGGGGGGCTACGGTGGAGGTCCATCGGAATGTGACAACCAGTATCACGACAATTCGGAGCCTGTTGTGGCGCTCTCCACGGGCTGGTATGCAAAGGGCAGCCGGTGTGGAAATTTTGTAAGGATCTCTGCGAATGGGCGAACGGTGAGTGCAAAGGTGGTGGACGAGTGTGATTCCGTGAATGGCTGTGACAAAGAGCACACGTTCGAGCCACCTTGCCTCAACAACATTGTGGATGCATCCCCTGCGGTGTGGAAGGCGCTGGGGATCTCCCAGGATGATGGTGACTATGGATACATGAAGATTACGTGGGCTATGGGTTGATCAAGATGTGTGTTTTCTCTATATATTGTCTTGATCTTCAAAAGTTGTGTGCGATTGAAGACGCTAGGGAAGATGCGCATTCTTGGTGCCGCACAACTTACCAAAGATTCAATTTGAATTTAGTGACAGGTGTTGAATTCCATTGAATGGCCTTCTCAAATTTCTTCAAGCGTTCTGATGAATGTGCAAGCGTCTGATGATTAATCTTGACCGGTTTTGACCAGGCCAAGAAAGCAATAACAAAAAAACAATGTCTATCATTTAAACTCTAAGCGTGGTCGTTCATCAACGACCTGGCATACATTCCGGCAATCGATTCGGATTCAACATCCTGGTGGGCGGATTCTTCAGCCCCAAGCGTTGCGCAGAGGCGCTTCCACTCGATGCCTGGGTATGCAAATCGATCGTTGGAATCGCCAGAAGTGCCGGATGATGTTGGGAACCAATTCAGCAGTCGATCAACTTCTCTTTCTCCAGGGAATCGAGGTCTTTCAATCGGAGGTGGAGAAGCGAGTGCTAGAGCCTCTGGCCCCCGCGGCCGTCCTGGATCCGTCATGGCAGCGACGAGACTTATCGCCAGAAGCAAGATGGATTGAACTTCGCAGGGTTCCACGTACCAGTTGACGAGTACGACAGCGGCGAGATCCGGGTCAAAACATTCCCAAAAGTTTCCTCAAGAAATGGATTCTCTCTGGCTTAATTCTCCCCAACGCCGGAAATCCTCCAGGCGAACCTTGTGGCGTGTACGGGCAGCCAGTCAGGCCATCATTGAGACGAAGGTCTGGGCCTAAAAGCTGACCGAGGAGCTGGAGAGGCAGATCCAGGTGGCGGACATGGCTTCATGGGGTGTATGAAGGTCCATATCTATGTTGGGGCGGAGATGTCCCGTGGTCGAAGAAGTCTTGATCAAGCCCTTTGGCGCGAACAGTGAAAGTTTTGGAAAAAGCAATTAACGATTTTAAAAAAATGTTTTGGGATGAAAAAGTTAGGCGAGTGGAAGTGACGCTACTCCAAGAATGAGGATTGAGGATTCATTGGTCGTGGAATTGTCGTTTCTCGAACTCTGCTATATAATGCGAGGAACTCCATGATTTCGCCACAAGTTCTCTTCTTCTTCTTCTTCAGGCAAACTAGAAATGGCTTCTGGTGCCGGCAGCATCCTTCTCCTTGTTGTGCTTTCCAGTTTGGTGGCCTCCTCTGCTGCGAGATTTTCCGAAATCCAGGACATCTGCCAACCATCCGGTAAGCTCCATGCCCCCGGTGGGCATTCGTGCGATGAGTGCTGCAAAGAAGGCGAAAGCTATCCCCGGTACGAATGCTCCCCGCAAGTGACTGGCAAGACAAAGGCGATCCTGACCGTGAATGACTTTGAAGAGGGCGGCGACGGTGGAGCTCCATCGGAATGTGACAACCAGTATCACGACAATTCGGAGCCTGTTGTGGCGCTCTCCACGGGCTGGTACGCAAAAGGCAGCCGGTGTGGGAAATTTGTGAGAATCTCCGCGAATGGGCGAACGGTGAGGGCCAAGGTGGTGGATGAGTGTGATTCAATGAATGGGTGTGACAAAGATCATGCATTCGAGCCGCCATGCCTCAACAACATTGTGGATGCATCACCCGTAGTGTGGAAGAAGCTGGGGGTCTCCCAAGACGATGATGACTATGGATACATGAAGATTACGTGGGCTATGGATGATGAGTGATCAAGAATTGTATATCTCTCTTCTATTGTTCGTTGTGTTTTCTCTACACAGAAAACATTTCCTAGATCTAATAGAAATTGATAGTTTTATATTACACTTGACAGCTACTTTGCGTCTTGACCTTCAAAACTTTCTCATCCAAGTCTTAATTGGGGACGGGTGGATAAACAACAACTCTACGTTTTGATCTTTCAGAGTCTTTTTCCGCATAAAGTTCACTAGCACCTTCACTGGAAACTTTACATAAAGAGTGGTAGGAGGCGATCGCTCTTGGGTTGCAACGTGTGGCAGCCCCTGGGCATTACAATATGACAATGAGAAGACTTTGAATGGATGTCTGGGTCAATCGTCTGGTGTGAAATTCTTAGAATATCTCTGATTTTCTTAATATAGTCCTTATAATTGAAGGTATAATGCAACATAGGTGAAATAATCTAAATGCTGTTAGGTTTTATATATTACTTTGTGAAATTTAAAAATTAATTGTACATTTTGTTTTCAAATTAATCAAGAGATAAAGTTAATAGTTAATTATATCTTTCAAATTACATTAAATAAAAATATAAAATTTCATACATACATGTGCAAAACAATTTAATTTCTTAGTACTTTATATAAATATAAATACACTTTATAAGGTTCAAGTGTACAGTTACAATGCCATATACTAATATTAGCATAGTGAGATTTTGGTAGCCATTAGATTGATTTCAATTTAGACCACTCATTCTCATATATAAACTAGGGTTTTTGGGTTAATTGATATGCACATTTTTTACATTCCCTTTCCATATTCCATGCACTCACATTGGTGGAAATGAGGGGCATTTTTTATTGTCCTTGAGGAGTGCTTAGATTTGGGATTTTGGTTTAGACTTAATTTTTGCATTATTTAGATTTAGCTTTTTCCATTTCCTTTTTTTTATTTTTTTCTTATAGGATTTTGGTTTAGATCTAGATTTCCTTTTCCTTCTAGCTTTTTTTCATTCCTCTTCTTTTGCTTTTTCCTTTTCGTTCATCTTCGTGGCAGATTAGCAATCTCCTCCTTTGACTCTGAAGTAGTAGTTGGTACATTTGTTTGATGTTATGTGATTGCAATTGAACAATCAAACTCAGTTGATGGTGGCATTTATGGCACGTGGTACAACTCCTCCTACTCTTGGTGCCAATCCTCGCATTCAGCTGGAGTTCTTTTGTGGGAATCCTGGGGATGATATGTACCATTGGTTCGATCACTTCACAGTGATTGCCACATATCATTCTTGGGATGATGCTCGACGTTTGTATGAGTTTCTCACGTGTCTCCAACCGACAGCATTACAATGGTACAGTGGTTTAAGTGTAGCCACTTGTGGGGATTGGAATGTTCTCCCAGATATCTTTAAATGTGCATTTTGACATGTTGATAATTGTGATAATGCCTTCCAACAATTGCATTATCTTCGTTAAGGGTTATTTGAGTTAGTGATGCAATTTAGCATTCGTTTCTGAAGCCTCTTACTTCGTATGAAGCCAAATATGTCAAAGCGGATCAAGGTAGGAATATTGTGGCCAGTGCTTTGTCAAGATTTTGTTAGACTTGTGCATGCATTTACTCCTGCCACCTTTGATGATACTCTTTGCTTGGCACAACGTTATGAGATCTTGCCTCTTCCACTTTTTGCTACACGTCTTTCAACTCTACTTCCTGTGGGTGATGGTCCTGTTTCAATGGAAGTTGATGCTGCTGCTACTTGAGCCCAAGGATAAGGGCGAGGCCATGGTTGTGGCCATGATGTTCATTGCTAGGCATATGATGAAATTAGTCACATTTATCGATGTTGTCGGTGTTTTCTAGATTGGCAGCCACCATTTCATAAATGGAGACCTTGGCGTCAACATGACGCCAAGACATCCTGTTGGTGTTTGTAGCGCACCTTATCTCTCTCCCCTTAAACCAACTGGAAAAGGGGCAATTGCTTGATGAGAGAGCCCTTAGTGGCTATTTTATCCCCTAAGGTTCTAAGGATCCACGGTGACAGTATATCCAAATCTCATCCCATGATCACAATTGCTTGATGAGAGAGCCCTTAGTGGCTATTTTATCCCCATTTATCCCCTAAGGTTCTAAGGATCTACGGTGACAGTATATCCAAATCAGCACCTCCATTTCCGCACTCAATCTACCAATCCTTCCATTGTGTAGACCAGCTATTCCATGTGAGGCAACTAGTCATCCACCCGTACCGCAGTCCCATGGTGGATACCTTCGTCCGTGGATACTCCACACAAGAGGAAGGACGTACGCATGGATGCCCAATACGTACGATTTCAAATTTAGGGGTAGGAATATACCTTGCTCAAGGGTATATTATACTTTTAAGTAGCCACTAATCAATGGGAATCGAACCCGTGCCATTTGCTCTAATACCAACTGTAGCGCACCTTATCTCTCTCCCCTTAAGCCAACTAGAAAAGGGGCAATTGCTTGATGAGAGAGCCCTTAGTGGCTATTTTATCCCCATTTATCTCCCAAGGTTCCAAGGATCCACAGTGACAGTATATCCAAATCTCATCCCATGATCACATGTGCTATAGTGTTGCTGCAATGGAAGGTCTAGACATCGAGATGCATCTGAGAAATAAGGAGTCACACGAGTAAGAAGGGACCTTGCGCAAATAAGTTAGTGACCCTTCTATCTTTCTTTTGGGAGTATCATCAAGGGGTTCACTCGGCACCGATTCATTCAATGTTTATATTCTAAGCTCGTTTTTATAACAAATGGTATCCTACTATTCTCTCCATGTTGGTTGATACAAGTTTGAGTTTATCTTCTATTGCTCAACATGTTGCCACACGTTGTTGTTTACACTTGCGTCGTGCAGTAGAGCTAGTTTTCATTCTTTATGCCAACGGCCGTACACATACATGTGCATGGGATGAGGCAGATTTAATTGTGTGTCTGGGAAATCTAACTTGGGTTGCAATCATTGCAAGTGGTGCTAAGTCAAGTTTTTTACCTCATCCTTGGGATGGATTGATTGCAGCACAATCATGCCAAGTGTGACTTTAAAGTTTCTTCCCCTTGTTTCATACTTCCTTATATTTTATCCATTCCTCTCACTTTCATATTTCTTCATCCCTCTACTTCTACCTTTACCTCTACTTCCATTACTTTTGTCCCCCCACTATTTCCTCCTATGTTTCTGTCTTATTCTACTCTTCCCTTCTTCGATCCCTTTGACAATTTTTGTGTTGCAATGGTTGATCGGCTCATGAAGGAGTATTTTGATCTATTTAAATTTGACCTATCGTCTGGGTCCAAGATTGCCACATGTCATCCGATTCCAACCGAGGATGCTCGTCTAATCAAGGTTCTTGTTCGTTGTTAGTCACCCAAAGAGATCAAGCTTTTACATGCAAACGTGAAGGAGATGTTGGAGAAGGGTATTATTCGGAAGTCACGGAGTCCTTGAGCATGTGAACCTCATCTTGTGACAAAGCTTGATAGAAGTATTCGTTTTTGCATCGACTATCGTTCGTTAAACAAAGTAATGATCCCGGATGTGTACCCTCTTCTTCACACTGTTAATCTTTTAGATTATCTAGGGCGAAGTCGTTAATTCACCAAGTTAGATTTTGCTTCGACTGCTTTTCGTACATTATTTGGTTTGTACAAATTCTTGGTGATGCCATTTGGTTTGAACAATGCTCCAACAACTTTTCAGCAAATGATGGACAAGGTTTTTTGCGATATGCCAAAGGTGACTACTGACTTCATTAATGATGTTTTGATCTATTAGGAGGGGACGTGGGAAGAGCACGTTCGTGATGTTTGTAAAGTGTTGAATCAGCTACGGGATGTTGGTTTAAAGCTGAAGCGGTTGAAGTGTGTGTTTGGGTCCAAGGACATGACTTATCTTGGATATCGTACTTCTTGTGAGGGTTTGCAAGTTGATCTTAACAAATTTGTGGCTGTTCTAAAATTTTCTACTCCGAAGTGTGTAAATGATATGTAGTGCTTCCTAGGCAAGGTGTAATATCTTTGTCGTTTTGTAGATCATCTTTCTAATTGCATTGCACCATTGCGAGTGTTTCTTAATCATCTTTCATTTGATCTTCCGATTGTGAGCAGATGTTCGTGGATCTCAAAGAGCTATTGACAACTCCTCTAGTTTTGGTATATCCTGACTACACTTGATCTTTTATTTTGCACGTAAATGCTTCTAATATTGATCTTGGAGATGTGTTAATGCAAGAGAGCCCGAGTGTGCCTGGTCAGTGCCATCCCATAACATATATAAGTTGTACATTACAACCAGCGGAGGTGAACTACTCCACGATAGAGGAGTGTTTAGCAAGAGTCTAGGGTTTTAAAAAACTTCATGCATATCTACATGGTTCTCGGACATTATTTAAAGGTAATCATATTGCTATTATTTCATTATTGAAGCGAAAGAACTTAGTTGATCATACTGCTTGGTGGGCTTTGAAGCATCAGATATATAATTTTAATGTTGTTCATCGCTTAGGGAGTTTTATGGTTGATGCTAATGCCCTTTCTCAAGCTCCTCTTCCTTTTACATTGTCTTCTTATGTTTCTGACAAGTCTGTTGTTCTAGCATCTGTGAATTTTCTAGACAAGGATTTTGTGCTGTTGGCATTTACTGTACTTGATGTTTAGTGTTTATAAGGTGCAAAGAAAAACCTACCTTCTCTTGATGAGGTGCTCAAGGCTTAAAAGATTGAGCCATGAATTCGAAGGTTTCGAGATGGGTTTGAGAATCCTACATCAAATACTAATGACTTGTCATTCTAACATTTATATTCTCAATATCGCCTTAAAAATGGCCTTCTTTATTTTGTTGGGATAGATCCTAATGATCCTTTACGGCTGGTGGTGCCTTCCATCTTTATTTCATGGTTTCTCCATACCTACCATAATTTTCCTATTCTAGAGGGGCATATAAAACATTATCGTGTGACCAATAAACTATGCAAGTTTCTTTATTAGCTAAAG